ACAATGAATGAGCTTAAGATTAAGTTCGTTGTTTTATTTTCTTTATTAAAATATTATTAACCTTACGTAATCCTTTTGGAATACAACTCGGTCATATGGTCACCTAACTACGCCAATCACTGTGATAAGGTAGAGGCTGTACAGAAAAGGTTTTTACGATTGCTTAGTTCTCGCTATCGGTACGGACGTACACTCGAAAGCTACAACGACAGACTCAACCGTTTCAGACTGCTTACACTAGAAATGCGTCGCAACTGCAATAGCTTAGTGTATTTGCACAAAATTATTCACGGTGTTGTTGATTCACCCACACTTCTAGGTTCCATAAATATAAACATCAACTTTAAATTCCGACACCCCAGAACATTTACCCTGGATGTTTAAAATAACATCTCATATCACAATCCTATCGGACGTATGTGTCGCGCTTATAATAAGGTTTTTCTTGAAAACGACGGGTTGGATAGTATCGACATTTTCAACAAAAACCTAAAGCTATTTAAAAAACGATTGGTTTCGGTTAACAGCCAAGAATAGTGATCGAATCTATATTATTTATTTATTTTTTTATTTATCCATTATTTAGTTCCTCGCCTCACCAGTTCACTAGTTTATAATTTCATTTTACTTTTCATTGTATTTTGATTCCTGTAACCTGTTCATATTTTTCCGTGTAAAACTACTTCTATTAATTGTAAGTGTGTTTTGTTATGTATTGTTGAGTGCTGATGTGTTTTTTTTTTAAGTGAAATACTTAGTATATAATCTGTGTTCGCATAATTGTTGGATTATAACTCAGCTCATTTATAATGTTTACTCATCAATTATTTGCATATTTAGTTGTAATCTGTTGTGTGAACCGTTTAAAATAAAATAAAGTAACGACGTTACAAGAAAACATAGGGAATAAACGTTTACTAACATTAATTCCTATTATTTATAATTCTTTATATTTTAAAGAACACATCTCGCGATGTATATTAAGATGGTGTTAATTTAATAAACCAGATTGCAAGTTATCTTTTTTCGGACTGTAGGGTTTCAATTCAAAAAATTGGAAAGGAATATTCGTTTCAGGCATAAATAATAATAGGAAACAAAAGTGAACAAGACGATTAAACATTTTTAGTTAGCTGTGCTTAGGAAGGTATGGAATATCTAATAAATAACTTCATTTAAGTAATGTGACTCATTTAAGAAAGCGGATACTATGTATTTTTACTTAATGCACATTTATGTTATGATAAGTAAGAACGGAACAGTTGTCTTAATTATTAATTCGTATTATAAATCTCACAGGTACAGATTATTCAAGCAAACCCTAGCAAAACCAAACTGGATCGAAGCCTACTTTGTCCCCGATCGTAATGCAACATGCAATAGGTGAACAAAACATTAAAACACTAATTTTTTGTATCACATCGTAAAGTTTTACTATACCATATAGAAAAAACTAAGAAAAAAACTAAGCAGCACAAAATCATAACTCATGATAATATTAACTCAATATGTGATGGGATGTCAGATACACTAGTATAAAGTTTCATACAAACTGTCTAACTGTCTAATCTTGTTGTATCTAGCTGTTAAGTACCTCCATCAACCTTTACACTTTTACTAGAACTATTTAGTAGATTTTATTTTGAATATCAAAATAAACTTAGACTAATATGAAAGAGTATTTTTTATTAGACCATAAAAGCTGCAACCTTACTTATTTCCTAAGTTGATAGTTTTAACTATTTGTTAGTCAGAGATTTATTTGTTGACGTATCCTCCAGTAAATCAAATTGCATAGTGACAGACGGTGACTAGGGTCAGTAAGGCTTAACTTTTTATTTTGTTTTAAACTCTATATTGACTAAAACTTTCTAGGTTTAAACTACATATAAAGCGTTTCCTTTCATGTGTTTAATAACCCATTTATAAACAGAACGTGCAAAATAAAAATCATTGAAAAACTGTCGACGCTCCATATGTCGTTTGATGATGCTAACGCGGGGTAAACATAATGTACTTAAGAAATTACGCCCGTCTAGAAATAACAAGTAGTCACAGGTTTTTCTAGGATTATGTAATTAGACAATAAAGTATTTAATTTTCTAGAATCACACTTCATTACCTGAACCCTTGAAATGTGAAAGTGTATTTAACTTTTAATTTATTTATTTTTGACATTATTGTCAACTGATAAAGTAATGAGAGTAGAATAAGAAAAACATTAAAAACATCTTTAAGTACACAATGAGTAATATAATGTTTTTTTATCAATATGTTATTTTTGTTATATATATAAAGCTATGGAGCCTATCAATTCATGTTGACACTAAATCAAAATAATGAACATGATTTTACTAACTATGAAATATAATATTTAGAATTAACGGAATCATGTTTAGAGAGAAGATTTAAAATTACGAACTGTTATCGGACAATAATAATTAGTTTTAAACCCAATCGTATAGTTAAGTCTCCCGGACAGTATTTTTATATTATATAAATATACGTATACTATGACAAAATAAGACTTGTGGTTGGTATTTGAACTATTATTTTTTTGTATTGTTTAAACTAGGAAATCGAATCTCCTGCCTTACTAATTTTTGAAAAACGTCAACAATACTCGAAAACATTTACATATTGCACTAAGTAGGAGTTAAATTAGGTAATATGTTCTTAATAAGCAAACAAAATAATGTCTTCGGGGTTTTCCCAAAAACACCTAGTCTCCCTTAATATTCATACACAGGGACACCAAAACTTGGGCTAACACATTTAGATAAGAAGTTTTTTAACTATCTCACTTTGTTCTTATCATGTAAATAGTCGGAAATAATGTAAACTTTAATTAACATAGCTGTTGTTCATTGTAGTTTGTCTTTGAAATTTAGTTGAGCCGTGTTCTTTTTCGGATTAAGTCGATACTTTGAAATATTTTTCAAAATTTAAACTGTGCAACTGTTCAAGTTCTTTGACTTTATTGTGAGAAATGAAATTGTTTTAAAATTCAAATCAAATGTTTTCGATACCAAGTCAAACAGCACAAGAAGTGGCATTAATAGAAAAAGTGTTGACCCATCTTGAAGTATCTTAATTCTAAGGTACCACTTTCTTAGATGCAATACGTACAGAAGCCCAGATACCTACTGGTAACATAAAATACAAAACATGTGACAATCACTTAATTGTTTTACTCTTTACGATATCCCTTCCTTACCTCTATCGAGATCCGTAAACGGTTTTAAACCTCCAGGGATGAAATTGTCATTGAATATAAGATGAGAAGGTGTAGGGAGAAAAACAATTTACGAGAAATAAGATAAACTCATGACCCCTAGCTTCTTCGACGTGACAGTAATGGTCATGGGTTGTTTCCAGACGAGGCAAGGACAACTTTAAGTGCACCTGTTGATCTACAAAGTGGTTGGGAAGACGAATGATATCCGATAATTATTTTCACTCCAAGAAGAGTTTTGGCAAAGAATGAATATATCATTGAAGTACAATGAAGTAAATTAATACATCAATGAAGCTTCTAAGGTAGATCTTTAAGAACATAACATAAAGGGTGCTTATTGGATGTGATCAATTAATTTCACATTGCGATATTGCACAATCACTATGGCTGAGAAGAGTGCCATTAAAAATTCAGCAACAAGTACTTATTCCGTACATTATACCAAGAGAACATGCTTGGCATAAGATAAAAATAAACACAATTATAGAATCCTACCCACAACAAACCCTTTATCAGCTTCAAGATACTGCAATATTTAGTTGGCAAAACTTATATCAATAAACATGATAAATTATGTATTTGAGAGGAAGAATCAAGAAGGAGCATAAAAAAGAAGAAAATATAAGAAAGAAATGATACAGTTTGAAAATTATTTTATAACTGCACAAGCTGGAGTATTTTTAATTATACATGTGAGTTTTTGCTTAAATGTCGTGCTTGAATATTCTTTATTTTTAAACAAAAAATATATCAAAAATTCTGGTTGGCCCCAATCAGAATAGATATAATATCAGAAATGATAACTGGCTGAAATTAGAAAAATATTAACCTAGTTTTATAGGCCTTTTTTTATACTTGTACAATTTCCCTTTGTCAATAATAATAATTCATTTATCTATAGGTCAGTTATAATCTACAAAATCAGTTAAAACTTCAGTAGTATTAACTGTAGTAGAAGAGAATAATACTTATAAATAATATTGAAATATGTGTTACTATAATAAAGGTATTAGCTACAAATGCATAGATAATATCATGTAAAACCAATATATATATTATTTAATTTTATGAGCTAGGTTATTTTAAAGCAGGATTTAAACTTTTGAGTAGTTTTAGAGTTTATGGTAAGTTAATTATAACTAATCCAAACATATCATCTTCAATTAATTTCTACTACACTTAGATTATTTTAAAATGCAGTAAAACTCAAACAGTTTGAACACCTTTTCTAAAACCTACATTGTTGTCCTATTATCTACACTAAATGATATAACTATTATAAGATGATAAATAATTTGAATATATTTTTTCATATTTAAACTCAACATATTTCTGTAACAACATAATATTCAACCTGATGAAATTCAGTTTATCAAAGTTTGTAGCTATTTTCAAGTATGATACAACTAAATATTAAGTTTTTTATTCTTAAATTAACATTTTAATTACCTGTCATGATCACTATTAGACACAATCTTTCAGACATTTTTAATATACAAATAAACATGAATTGGATCTTAAAAAATGTTTAAATCTGACTTCCTATAAAAAGTCACTCAATTTTTGAAAATTCAAGAATCTTTTTATTTATAAACTTATAAATTTAATATATATTTTTAATATAAACCATAATTCCATCCTTTAATTTATTAAGTCATAGACATAGACACAAACATAATCGGTAAGCAAAAATAAATAAGACTATCAATTTATATTTTAATCTATATTTAAACTAATTTCATACATCTAAATTCTATATAATCTACTTTTTCCTTAACAATTCCTTGCCTTTTGGTTTCAATCTATTATTAATTATTTTATTTCTCTCTTCTTCTACAGCTTTTATGTTATCAAGATATCTCTGTTTGGCAAAATCTATTTCTGAAATACTCTCTACAATCTGCCGAGCATAATCCTGTTGTCTTAGCATCCTCTTCTTCTGCTTTTGCTGGAAATTATAAGCGTTTTTATATGAATAATGCAATATATATTTATTACATATATATTCATACTACCAACAACATAATAAGTTTTAATTAGGTTTTTTAAATATATATGACAAATTTAAATTATTTTCCATTTCATTAATTGTTGCGTTTTGTATTACTTTTTATACGATCTCTTTTCACTTAATAATATCTTATTTTGTTCTTAAAATACCAGCAAAGGTGTAGGACGTCCGTCTAAGAAAGTATAGTCGGGTGCATCAATTAGCACTCCCTCGGTCAAACGGTTGGCCGGCAGACCTTTCTCCAGTCGCCATTGTTTCGTATTCATGGCTGCAGTACTGCTTAGCTGACGAATTAAGCCTGGTACAGCTGGACGTCATAAACAGAACTCAATTACTTCAAATCCAATAAAAAAAATGAAATGCAATATGTTATCACAATTGTACCTATATTCTTAGTTCGAATCATATTCGTAAGAATTGCACTCATTTTCTATTTATTGAATATTACTAGGGAACTTATAATATTACTGAAACTTCATTAAATTTTAGGTTAGTTTTGAACTCCTGTCAAATAAAGTCAAATAAAGATCACTGTTCAATAACTTGTTATAAGGAAATAACTAGTTACAATTTTAATAAAATTAAGCAACTGCATAGTGAAAAATTAGGTTCATAATTAAAGAAAAAATATACATAATGAATTTGAATTATGATAAATAAATTGAGAGATTATATACAAAAATTAAAATCACATTCTAAATAATATTTAGTGTTCTAATTTTAATTATATCATATCCATTAATTTTTGCTTAAAAGGTTGATTGTTTTCTCAATGATATCTTAAACGATACGTCATTTCATATTTATATAGGCTAAAATCTAATTAACCATAATATCTTAGTATTTACATAGAAACGATAAAAAAAATTCCCAGTCTTCAGCGAATTAGAAATAAAATAAAAATAAAATCTGTAAATATTAAGAGTATCAAGGATAGATTCTAGAAAGATAAAACCATAGACAATTGTTGTCTGTATCAAGAATCTTTGTTGTCATAGCTCAAGTCAATTCCCATTCGCAGAAGTGAAAAACCGAAACAGTGAGATCATACGTGCATTGTGGAAGTGAGTCCTTTATTTCACAATTCGTGTACATTATTACTTTAAAATTACAGCTTTTAAGGCTCGATAGATGTAAGTATAGATATTAAATAACCGTTATGTTCAGTTGTAAAACTATCGATTGATGCTTATTGCGACATCGGAATATCTAGTACTTTCCATTGCCCTTTTATGTAAATTTACTTAATTAAGAAGATAAAAAACTATTTTTAACAATGGTGCTCAAATGATTTAGCAATGGTGATGAGTTACTGAATAAACAATAAAAAAATGCATTGTGTAAATCTTGTTCAATAGCCATTGAATCCTTTTGTGATTATTTATATTCTAGTAAAGTTTCTACTGAGTAATCAATAATTTCAATATTCTATTGTTTACATCTTTCGATAATTAATTTAGTGACCGACATTTTCCACCACAACATTGTGTTAAAAATATAACAAGTAGTATGTTTTTTTTATATTTCTTAGTATGAACCGGATTTTTCGTGTATATAACATTTGTTAATAGTAACTGATTAAATTTTATCCAAAATAAACATTGTCTCAAGTTGCAGTAGCTTGCAAAGAAAAAAAAATGGCTGATGCATTTTTGACGTTGATAGATTTTTATTTCTCTTTACCAAGGTTTTTACGTTTTGTAATCCTTACTATATTCCGCGACTCAAGCTTTTTTAGTTTAAGATTAATAATATCTAATTGTATTTCTTCAATTTCTTTCCAGTAATTCTTACACTTTGTGATTTTTGAAGTTGTTCAAAACGGCCTCCGAAAAGCTAAACCCGTCTGACAAGCAAAACTACAACACGATGTGTACGTATATATTTTTTTTAATATATTGATCATATTTTTTCTTTACAGTCATATCTTTGGAAAATGTGGCAGAACACCGGAGTCTATCCCGGAGGTTATATATTTATTATATTTTGATGTGCACCACTGTTGTCCGAACCTTGTATAAATGTTGTCCAAAGCACTATTAAAGCCGCCATTAAGACTGCCTGACCACATAATATAACGCATTCCATTTTTCATGCTCATTTCATCATTGTATAATTTAAAACTTGTCAATATTCATTAGTATGTCCGTTTATGCTCACTGCTTATGAATCATCTCTTCCTGTTAAGCAAACATGTTGATATCTTATCAGTTAATGATTTTCCTGCGTTTATAATGTTTTTTTCAATTAAAGATTAAACTTGAAATGAGACTGTTGAGGATAAATTTAAAATTATTATCAGTAATTTGCTTCATGTGTGTCGCTACTTTATATAGCATGTTTTATGTTGTTCATACACTATGTACTATATATTGTTCCTAATAATGAAGAATTACAATCCTTATATATAAATAAGAAAATCCTTCATAGTTATTAGAATTTTTATAACAAGTGATGCTAAATGACGGTAACTTATCCACTTTGTGGTACTTAACATTGTTTCTCCGACATTGTGCAATAATGAGATTAAACAAGTCATTCCATTTATACATTTATTCACTTGCTCTAGTTAACATGTATGATATATATATAGTATTAGAACTAACTAAACTTGTGGTAAGTATTTGAGGCATCATGTACTTTAAGGAAAATTGTAATAAAACTCCTATAATATTCTACTATGAATTACAGACCTAACTAGTAACATCATCTTAATTTTTCAAAATGTATGTTTGTCTTAATTATATTTCAGACAATATTCAACTTTTTTTATATATTTCAGTTTAATGTTAAAAGAGAAAGAAATAGAGGAAGTGGAGTTCATAAATTTTATTTGTTAGTTGGATTATGGATCAGGATATAATAGTTAAGGTATATGACAAGTTTTTGGCCTGCCTCAAATGCTTACCCAAAATTTGTGCCAGGTATTGTTCTAGATTTACATAACAAGAATATTTGAGTCATAATATTTGTGTGCGCATTGTGAAATATATATGTATATATGAAATATTGCACAACTGCACAAAAGAAAGGATTGAGTCACAGAAATATAATCAATACCACTTATGTAATATTATCAATTAACTGAAAATAAACAGATTTAAAGGGGTCTTTTGAACCTAAGATTTATTAAAAAGCTTATATACATTTTCTTACTCATTAAACATATAAAAAAAATATAGATGCCAAGGTAATGACGTGTATTCTTGCTTTTTTTGTTTTACAACTAATAAATATTTGGATTTATAGATACTACTCAAGAGATTAAACATGTCTTTAATTAATTCAATGACCTTTATATAAATTTAAATCTGAACAGATTTAATCTGTACTCACAAATGTATAAATTAAAACAAGTTTGGGACTTGAGATATTTTAAAATTTCTCATACAATAACAATTTTCGGTATTTCATATAAGGACGTTATATCACATAGATCTTGAAGGAATTTAATTTTTAGGCAACAAAATAAATGTTTAAATCTGTCTCATAGACTTCGTGTTATATAAGATTTGGTGTATTTATTTGTATGCTATTTCACATAAGTACTGTAACTAATAACATATTTGCTCAGAAACATGCTCTTTTTCGATGAGTAATACATAAGTTTTGTTCGCATTTAAAATCAATTAAGAGTACGAATGCATTAGCCGATTGCGTGCATCATCCGGGGAATTCCCTCTTTCTATATCTTGGCGCGTGGGTGTTTATACAATTGGCACGTTTCCCATATGACGTAACGCCGCATGCTTTATGAACAATCGATGGTGTATTCTATGGTGTAGCTTTGAATGTCACAATTATTTGTTGGCGTATGATTTTCGATGTATTTTTGTATATTGATAAACATTTCTACGAAATTGGCGTTTCAATATAGATTTTTTTTATATTAACGTTTTGTAAGAACTGAATGGATGACTATTAGTGTTATGTAAATATTTTTGTGGCTTCTCTTAATGAGCTACTTTCACTGAAACTTTGAATACTTTCTCTTGGCAAGGTTGTTGAATAAACATATTATTTATATATTACTGTAGCAAATGTACACGAAGTGAACTAATATTAGATGACCGTCAAGTGAAAATCGATTTTTATTACAGTTAAAAAATGTGATTAGAAGCGAAAAATATTTACTACAACGTGAACCTGCTATTACAGTTTTTTTGCTCTGTCGTCATTTGCAGTTGCACATATTTCTTACAGCTTTTTCTATACTTTAAACTGAAATAATAAAAAAAAATAACTAAAGGTAAGGAGTTCATAATAGGGTTTTAAAAAACTGTATGTTTAATATGATGAAATGTTATTTAGCAATTTCGCTTTTACTGTTTTAAATGAATATAAAGATATATTTTTATATGTGATTATATAAAATACGAATAAGAATTATTTTTTTTTAAAGTTCTAAACAATGATTTGTGGTAGATGTTTATAATAATTATGTATAAATCTTATTATATATTTTTTTTCCAAAGCCAAAGAAAAACTCAATATGTTTTTTACGTAACAAAACATGTATTTACAATTTTTGTTTAAGCTTAAAGATTTTGTGGTATATAATTTTGATTTTTTATAAAATAATGTATCATCATTAAAATAAAAATGGTTCTAGTCTGCAACATTATCTTATCTTATTGTCTGCAAGATGAAAATGATTTATAAGTTGTTGTTAAACCAATACTGTTATTGTCAGTCTAACATTTCCACAACTTTAATATTCAGATAAAAAATTCATTGACTCAACTAAAGTACGATAGCTTAGATGCGAAAGCGACTTTAAACTGTATCCCATAGGTCGGATGTTCGAATCCCGATCGGGTCGATGACTTTTTTTGATCCCAGAACCATTGTTAACATTATATTGAGTAGGAGATCAAAACTCGCGTAGTTAATTGGTTCATTGGACAGACGTTAGTGTTATTGACAAAGTGTGTATTTCCTTTTTTATGTAGGGTAATCATAAACGTATTATTGAATTATTACAAACGTTTGTTGTGAGTGTAATGACAGACGAGCGACTAAATGAGCAATGAACCACCCACGGACGGACAGATCGATTCAATGTCATTTATGTACATAAATGTATAGACGTATGTATGTAGTCTTAATTTAATTTGACTTACTCTATTCATATCATAAATGAGGTATCGTCAGTAAAAACTGCTTAACGGATTTTGGTTAAAGTTTACAGTGATGTAACTTAGACATCAGGATAAGAATTCCGCGTAGTTCCCGCGGGAACATAACATCGATATTGCGTATAAACACATTTTAACGATGTCGCTGAAAGATGGTTACCACATTTATTTATTTTAAAATACTCTGAGTGACTAAAGTTAACTTGGAAATGTGAGTAAAAAAACTAGGAATTCAAAATAAACGAGTAAGTGTTCGATATATCTTTTCATTGCACCATAAAAGCATACGTACGTATTGTTTTGTAATATGACGAAGTACTGTTTGTTTACATGGAATACTCGCTACATGCAACTTTATACTTTGATGATCTATCATTTAGTGTTAACAGTTAGCCTTTTCTCACAGGTGTTAAATGTATGTAGCAACATAACTCCGAAACTCGATACGTGGAAGTAATAGAATCGCATCTTTAATATTAAAAACTGACCCCGTTTAATATTTTCACCTCTGCTAGCCCTGAAACGCGATATTTATCTACTAAAGAGATTTCCTTACAAACTAACTTGTAATATAATTAGTACTTGTTATATTAAAATCACGCAAAACTATGTCATATTGTGAATTATTAGAGTTCTTTATCCCAAAGCAATCCATAAATTAAAACAGCGGGTATGGTTCTCACAATCAGACACTAATTGTGTTATGACATATTTGTCTTTATTGCATACGACATAAGTATTGTTATTGTATGTACCGAAAGATCATATTAAAATAAATTATCGTATACGTCTTTGATGTCAGTAAGGTGTCATGCATTGATGCATACACTTGTCATTGGTGTTGTTCAATTATGGCGGAAAATAAAGGTATCACAGATAAAATAAACTTTATTTAATGTCACTATTATTGTATATAATTTTTATTGCTTCAAAAATATCAACAAATCAAAATAAACAAAAATACCCTCCTTACTATTCTTGTCATATTGTTACTTTTCATATCCCTGAAATCTGATGGAATCTTCTTATTTCTCTTATTTATATTCTACCCAGCAAATACCCATACTTTATAGTTCTTTATCATTTCTAAATAAAATTTTCCGTATGGTATTACAGTAATAAAGTCATCGTGTGTAATGAAATAAAATTTGTAATTTCAGATCAATCACAAGGCGGGTATCCGCAAGCTGGGTACCCTCAAGGTGGTTACCCTCAAGCAGGTTACCCCCAAGGCGGTTACCCTCAAGGCGGTTACCCCCAGGGTGGCTACCCCCAGGGCGGTTACCCTCAAGGCGGTTACCCCCCTCCCCCTCAACCAGGATTCCAATCTCCAGCTTACGGAGGAAGCGGTTATGGAGAGGTATAGTCAAACCGTTCAGATAATTATTACGATTTATCCAGAATTGTATTTGTATTTCGGTATCTGTACTTAAATTTAGTATATATATTATAGGCATAACAGTTAGTTTGTTTTGAAACGGACACTATTGTTTATATTTGAAACATCCTGTCGTTATTTGACGCCCACTATGTTCAGGACTGCTATAAGATTTAAATATCATAACTCCGCCTAAAGCAAAAAATGAAACTTAATATTTTCGAATGTACTAGTGTGTGAGTGACACTCAATCTCGTCTGCCCGTGATCACGCCTGCTGTAAAGTAGCCGAAACTTCGGGAGTGTGTAGTTTATAGTCAAAAATAAAAAATCGTGTAGTAAATCCGAAAATATTAGTTTTATTTAAAATTAAATGAATACTCGCGAAAATCTTGATCTCATTATCCACCTAAAGCAGATAGTATCAATGAGAATCTTGATAAAACGGAAATATTATTATATTTGAGATGAGCAAATCAGTTTTACTTTACTAAAAACATGTAGTAAACTAACAAGCGAGAGAAGTATAAGGAATCGTATTTTATTTTAAAGATACAATTCCCTGCGTCTATGCAATATTAATTTAACGTTTTTCCTTTTACCTACAGCATTCTTACATATGTTATGAAATTTAAAGTGTGAAGATGTATATATAAATTTTTGTTGTATTTTCGATTTTGTTAAAACTTTATTATAAAACAACGTACTGCTTGACTTCAACGAATTTAACTTTATTTAAATACATAGATTTAAAAAATACAGAGACGACTTACATACTTGATGCCAGGTGGCGCTAGTTGTACTCTTATATCTATTATTTTTATATTAACTAACACTTTATAGTAATGTTAATTATTATAGATGAGATATAGTTTAATTTTCCATGGAAGGCAATAGTGTGATTGAAGTATGTTAGAATATATTATTTGATTTTACTATACATTTCTCTGAGATTAATTCGCAAGTCCATGCAAACGAAGTCGCCATATAAAACTAGTATTACTTATAGAATAAAATAAATCATTGATTAATGTTACCATGTAATCAAATTAATTGCAGCATCATTCGTGACTTGAAACATCATACATAATACAATATTTTCTATGATTTTTCCTCTATATTAATATTCACGTCAAAATATTAATCGAGATGGCTATGATTTTCTTTATATCTCATATTTGTGATGTTAAATAATAATTTTGTATCCCTATTATAATGTTTAACTATGATGCGTGGACATACCGTAACGTTTGTGAGTTGTACAGAATGACGAACTAGTTGAATATATGTACATAATACTAGCTTTCCGGCCGCAGCTTCGCCCGCGTGAAGTTCGGCTATATCGTGTTTCCAAGAGAACCTTTCAAAAGTCTGGGATAAAAACTATCCTATGTTCTTTCTCAAGGTCAACTCTATGTCTGTACCAAATTTCATTAAAATCAGTTCAGCGGTTTAGGCGTGAAAGTGTAACAGACAGACAGAGTTATTTTCGCATTTATAATATTAGTAGGGATTAATTCATTCATATATGACAATTTAAATCCTGTTTCTGAAGCTCAAAAACTGTTTAAATTAATAACAAACGTATATAAAAATAACGATTTTATATTAGAACAATATATCCATGTGTGTATTAACTTGTATATATATTTCCAGCCCGGCTATGGAGGCGGTTTGGGCGAAGATGCAGATGTCAAAGGATTTGATTTCAACGATCAGAGTATCAGGAAACTCTTCGTTAGGAAGGTATTGTAATCTTTTGTTTATAAATTAATAACAAATACACAGTTTTTTATTAATTATAATCAAAACTCAGTTGTATAATAAGATATATAACTATGTATGTAATAATTTGGTCGAGATACTTGTGGGACTTGCTTTCATTTAATGTCAAAATTGCGTTGCAACTTAATCACTACCCGGATGTGATTTCGATTGGTATGCTTAAATTTTGCAATTCAGTTTGTTTAAACGAAAATTACATTATTGCATTTTTAAGCTTAAGGGACTTTATAGGAATAAGTTGTTAAAATATATTTGAGATTCTTTCCATGAAAAAAAAAAATTGATTACATAATCACAACCTCAAATGAACTCATCATCCGCTAAAACCAATGAATGAAGGTCGGCTGTTAGAAAACTATCTATAAAATTACTTAAGAAAGGATGCAAAGAAAATTTGAAAAAGAAAATTAACATATCTTAATTATTAAAACGTTTATCGACAAAAGACACGTTGTCAAATATTAAAATATTTATTTCAATACTAATATTTGATACGCAAATGATATGAAATATATTTTACGGACTAAAATTCTTATTATTCTTCTTAGTCATTTCCACTCCACGAGTGTAATGCAACAAGCATTAGACAAACAAAACTTATTAATCAATTATTTTGGCAGTAAATATAACTAGATAAACATATATCAGATACTTTTACTACACAAAATACATTTTGAATATTTTGGTTTTATATTGGTTCTCATATTGGCTATCACATAATTGCTATTAAAAACAAGAGTAATATAAAACTAGTGAAGTACCAATACAATGAAAATTAAAAAATTGACCGAATTAAATACTGTTTTAGGTACATCGATTCTTATTAAAAAATGGCTAAACAACTATAGTAACTTTAGCAAATAAAAAGATATAATATTAGTATATGTATACTATAATGAAATCTTAAATTATTATCTGTCTACTTCTAGCCATCAGTATGCTTAGTCCAATTCACTTCTCAACTGCATACGATGCGTTTTACGTTTTTCATTCGGTAACATACGATTATACTACATATAATATGCGAAGATTTATCAACGAAATACTGTACACGCTCCGTATGTGTTGTAACGATGACGACTTATATTAAGAATACTGTAGTGAGCTGAGAAAGTGTTACTCGTTAGTCTAAGATCAGAATTGTTCGTGATTATATAGTTTTAAATTCTGTGTTATTTTCTATACGAAGATATGTGGCGCTAATAATATTTCTGTATGTACTTTTTTGCATCATATAATTATTAAGATCAACTTAAAATTTGAAAAAATGGCCAATTAAAAAAACAATTCAATATATATAGGTGTATAATGTTCATTTGACCATATCAAACTAAAGAAATGGTTATTTGAAATATATATTTATAACTAAAAATAAATTTAAAGTTAAATACGCCATTAGAGATCCATTGTATTATTGAACTAAGTCAAACAAAATAAATACACAAAATATGTTATTAAAAACAATATGCTGTGATATTTATATATATCTGATTCTAAAATCATTTATATGCTTAAATATAATTTACTTAATATGTATAATAATTAATATTTATATAATACACAGTTAAATATTTCTCACCTCCAACATAACCACGTGTATCATGTACCTTAGGTATTGTTATTTGCAAATCAAAAGACAGTAAACAGCCTTATAGAATCTAACATTGTAACAAATCTCAACTGTGTCAATAGTTTTCCATTACTTCTAAATTCACCAACTATAGACAACTATAGCCAAATAAGTGCCGACATTCATAAAATACTTATAGTATTATACGTAACATTTATTGAAAATTAATAAATTCTAGCGATTTAAGTATGAGAATATATTTTTATCCTCTATCTTAGGAGTCAGCAACATCACACTTTGTAATATTTTGTCCATACAGTATTATTTTTAGTCAAGTTGGTTAATGTCTTAAAAAGCATGTCGCTTATGTAACACAGTGATAGACAATAATAATTAAAATAACCCTACCAATAAAATCCCCTTTTTATATCCAGGTGTACAGTATCTTGATGACCCAGCTGTTGGTGACGATGGCTTTCATAACGCTGTTCGTGTATCACGCTCCCACCAAGCTATGGGTGCAGAAGAATCCGTTCATGTTGTAAGTATACACATACATACAAAAATGCTATTTTGCTTTTTTTTTTTTGAAAAATATCCTATTAGGGATCATTACATCCATTCAAAGTAAAAAAACAACGAAACACTATTTTTAAAGGATTTGTCAGACGTTGTAATTTGTAATAATGTTGTAATTTTCAAACGCGAACGGATTACATTGATGTATTGCAATAAAGTACGCGGGGAGCGAGGTGGGTAAAATCACGCGCTCGCGCCGCGTTTTGGTTACATACAACAGAGTAAGACTTATGTTTTTCAACGTATACAGTTGTAACTATCAAATACCACAAGTGATGCTACCTGGGCGCCGCGGTATAATGTTGTTAGTATCAGATGCACCTATTATACCTTCTATTACGGAGTAAAATGTTTTATGAATAATATCTTTGATAATAGGCATATTACTTAAAATATCTTTTAACGTAGTTAAGAAGACTATTTATTATGTTAAATTTAAATACGAATTTTTAAAAAGATGCATCAATAAAAGTAGGTTTTGGTTTAATTTGAATCTTTAAAACGCTCTACTGTACAATTACAGTTTAGGAGATACAACAACTTACGTGGGAGGTATCGGTATATATATATATATATATATAGGAGTGTATAACACACACATATATTTTGACATGACTGAACTATTAATAGTGGAACTGGTTTTAGTCAATAGAAAATTGTTTCTTAACCAAATGTACAACGCTTAAAACAGGGTTTGGTAAAAGAACTTTTCTGTACCATTTCTTTTACTTATGTTAGTAGTTAATATGGTTTTCGTGAGAGCTAATAGATGGCACCACTGACCATAGGTAGGATGAATATACAAAATTATATAATTCAGTGACTAGACTCACGTCTCAATAGTTTGTTTTCCCTATATGTGTAACTATACCAAGTACCAACCAAGTACGGCATTAAAACTATTTCATTTTAAGGAACACAGCTATATAACTCTTTGCCTCTAAGTATTGTAAATTCAAAATCTCTAAATATATTTAAAAAACGATTAAGAACCCATATATTAGATGTTTAATATCACTATTGTTTATTATTTGTAATATCTTAATTGTAGTTGTAATTTTAAAATTTCCTTTGTACGCGAACTTTTTTTTTGGAAATAAACTTCTTTATATTATATGTCTATCTCTCTCTAACAGTATATTCCGTCTCTGTCTTCCAGTTGGATCGCGTTCGCCGTAGTTCTGGTGTGTCTGATAGCGATGGCCTGCTGCCCGTCCGTGCGCCGCACCGCTCCCATGAACTTCATCTTCCTCAGCATCTTCACGGTGGCTGAGAGCTTCTTGTTGGGGGTCACTAGCAGCATGTACCAGAGCGAAGCGGTAAGACGTACACACACACGGACACACACACACACACACTCACACACGCACACACATACACACTAAATCTTTTTCCATGTAAGCACAACCTCTTCATAAATTGACAATATGACTTCGAAAATGCAAATAGTAAATAAAGCATTACTTGTTTTCACCTCGTCTGCTCATGATCACGGTTGCTACAAAGTAACCGAAACGTCGGTGATCGGTGCACATTGGTGATACAAATTTAATATGTATATTAAAAGTTATGTAGAATAACAGGGGTCAAGATAAATTGGTCATAATTGAACATGATATATCCCTACTAATATTATAAATGCGAAAGTAACTCTGTCTGTTTCTTACGCTTTCACCTCTAAACCACTGAACTGATTTTAATGAAATTTGGTACAGACAGAGTTGAATTGACAAAGAACATAGGATAGTATTTATGCCAGACTTTTGAAAGGTTCTCTTGGAAACGCGATATAAGCGAACTCTACGCGGGCGAAGCTGCTGGCGGAAAGCTAGTCATATATATACATATATATATATATATATATATATATATATATATATATATATATATATATATATATATATAATGATATCTTCCAGGTAATGATGGCCGTGGGTATAACAGCGGCTGTATGTCTGGCTCTCACTATATTCGCTATGCAGACCAAGTGGGACTTTACTATGATGGGCGGAGCATTGATCGTGGCCACCGTAGTCTTGCTAATTTTCGGTAAAAATTTACTTTGTATTATATTTGTTATATTATATGAAAATGAAAATTAAAAAATGTTTATTAACAAAAAAACAACATTATACAAAGAAATGTCCGGTGGTGCCCACACTAGGTATTCCTGTGTCGTGGGTACCAATTGATAGATTTACACTACATGTTTATTGTTGTCGCTCGGCTTAGAATATAAATTACATAATTGTTTAGAGACATTGCATAATTTAAGTAGAATTAACTTACAAGTGGTCTTATGTTAGTGAATTGGTACTATACAAAGTGCAAGAAAAGTTTTTCAGTGGTATTATAGGTCAATAGGAGAGCCAATAAATAATTTTTGTTTTGGCTTGTTTAACGGAGCAATGTTTAATGTCACAAGCGTTAGCTACTTTATTGTAAATAAAAGATTCAATAAAAGGACTAAAGCGTCTAACAAAAGATGTCTTAATTTTGAGCAAGGGGAGCCTATAGTCCCGACTTTTGAGTAAAATTTTGTAGTCTTTTGAAGATACAGTTGTGTGATGAACTTTAAGTGCGATTTTTAATAAGTATAATTGGCATACAGTTAGAACTTCGCTTTTCTGATAAAGCTTGGTTGTTGAATAATCAAATGGTTTATTCAACATCGTTATGAGCACTGATCTTTGGGCTGGTTCGAGATGAATTAAATGCGTTTTACAAGCGCTTCCCCAGGAACTAGTGCAGTAGGCAATCAGATTGACAAAGTGCAAAATATACGGCCCGCAAAGTGCTTAATGATGCCGACTGGCGAAGTATTCAATAATATTCATGACTTTGCGGACGCGAGTCCGCAAAGTCTGTGTCTATGTCGCGATATGACAAAGTTCTACATGTTATTAGGGAGCGTTCAAGTATTACGTAACGCATTTTGGGGGAGGGGGGGGTCTCGTAAAACGTTACGATGCGTTACTGGGGGGGGGGGGGGGGGGGTGTCTCTTACAAAACGTTACGTAGCATTGTTTCTAAAAAAATATATTAATAAAAACCCCCAAACTGGCAACTCTTTTCATATACGTTACATTGTTGACCAGATTGTATTAGTCTGGTCGATATTTTTATTTGTTATTCCAAGTTTGCAAACCTCTTAATTGATATTTTACGGGGAATACCTAGATTGCATCGTAAGTCTTTTGATGCAATTGATCACTTGAGTGTTACGTAACGTTTTGAGAAGGGGGGGGGGGGCTACAGAAAAACGTTACTGTGCGTTACGATGGGGGAAGGGGGGGTCAAAAATCTTCGAAAATTGCGTTACGTAATACTTGAACGCTCCCTTAGGATATTAAAGCGAAAAGTGATTTAATATTTTTATAGGGATGAAAAGTAAAAAGATGGTAAAAGTAGGTTTGATTCTCGGATTGAATGGCTTGAAATACTTATCAGTGCCTTCATTAGTAATAAAAGAAACATTTCATTACTTTTGAGAAAAAAATCAAGAGTTTTTTGTGTATTGTTAAGGCACATGTGATTCGTTTTGTTTCAGTAAAATAGGAAATATTTTTTTTTATTTCAAAATTGAAATGCTTTTATCCTAAGACTACTTGTATAAATATAAATGTATATACAATTAAAATATTACACTTGATATAAACAGATCTAAAACACTTAAAACTTCATGTATACATTTTATAAAGAAAAAATTACTTTGTCTAGAACATTTTGTGCACGATATGTATTATAATGTACTTGAAAATAATTTAAATTGATTTATCAGTTGAAACTAATATTTTTCGGATATAACTACTACGCGATTTTATTTTTGTAAAAAAACTACATACTCCTAACATGAAAAACTCACTGCTGTTGCTGAAAATTAGCTTAAACGTCGGGAGTATGTAGTTTTTTACTAAAATAAAGCACGCGTATGTAGTATATCCGAAAAATATTAGTTTCATTTAAATGAATACTCGCGAAAACTTAGATCTCATTTGAGTAATCAGGTCAAATATTGTATTAAAAATCACTATATTCATAATAATGTCAATTTTCCAGGTATTGTGGCGATCTTTGTGAAGGGTAAAGTTATAACACTTGTCTACGCTTCACTGGGAGCCATTATCTTCTCCCTATACTTGATATACGACACTCAGCTCATGATGGGAGGCAAACACAAGTACAGCATCTCACCAGAAGAATACATCTTCGCTGCTCTCAACTTATACTTGGATATTATCAACATTTTCATCTATATACTTACAATCATTGGAGCGGCGAGAGATTAGATTGTATACAGAGCAATATATATGTATTATTTTCGTCAATTCGCTTGTTGGGTTTTACCGGCCACAACTATAGCTTTACACAGCATTCCTTACTATGAACGGACAAACTCTTTATGTACATGTAAAGGGACTATGTCTTTATATAGAGTTACACTGTTTCTAATGTAAAGGTGTATGTGAATAATTACCGCTTTAATTAAAGAATCTATAAATGTAAATCGAATATTAATTATAAAAAAAATATTTAATTCTGGCAGAAAATTTCAAGCTGATTAATATTGCTTATAATAAATAACTTAATAAAACCTACTTAAAAGTATTCCTTTTTCTGTTTGTTACACTGTGACTGTTTTTTAATGCTTATATAAAAGAAACAAAAATTGTATTGCTATCTGTTTTCCACGATGGTGTTTTTGTAAACAACACATTATATTATAAAATATTTAGTAGACGTTGCATTTAAGTGTTACATAAGTGTCTTAAATTGATTGTAATGCTTAATGCTACTTAAACTTGTGTACACGTTAAAATAAATAGTTTGAAGCCGCTAGATGGCGTTATTGTAAAAATGTTAAAAGTAAAATTTTCGTCTCAGTACTATGTTTCATGTAGTGAAGAATATATTTTGTTTCCACATTGTATATATGCAACTGTTCTTATAATTGATGATAAGATATTATTTATATTGTAATGTGTTAAGGTTTTGTTGTTCAAACTATGATGTAGTTTTAATTAAAAATTGTCGTAAAATTTATCAGTGTTTTATTTATCTATTATATATATGAATAGATTTATTTTGTTTTTGATAATGTCCATGATATTCTGATAAATTAACAGTGTGCATACATTCCAGTAAAAGTATCCCGAGAAAGCAAATTTAAGTTTTCAAACAATTTAACTGACTTTATTGGTTGAGGTACAGTTTCAGTCTTGATTTTTAATGTTCATCGTTACTTCCAGTAATGTCTTACAAAATGACTGAAGCCAGTATTTTTAGTTTTTAAAATACAAGTTGATACTCCAATGTTGCAATTCCAATATGTAGTACAATTAATTATATTTAGTCATAAAAATAATCTTAATGATTATAGTTCCTTATAATTAATAACGCACCGATGGCGCCACTTGTAACAAAGATGCAAAAGAGGAAAAAGTTTTAAATCTGACTACACTGCAATAAGGTACTTTAAACCGTGGTAACTTGTGTTTTATCAACTATAAGTTTAATTCAGCAAGACTGTTGCCGGCACTCAATTGAATATGCTTACACAAGTTTGCTATATAGAATGAAAAGGTTACCGAATGAAAACTGAAAACAGTATTATGTTAGAGGCTGCTCGTCTATGGTAACTCTACAGTTTCCATCCGATTATTCTTAAATTTTATCGCCTCATGACCATAGCTTATGAATAAAACTGTCAGTACACTGCTTACTTATATGCAGAGTAATTCTTAGCTTGCTTAACAAATGACGTCTTTACACCTCAGACTAACGTTGTATACGTATTACTTGAATATATTGGTGTCCTTTCTATTGTTCTTAAAATGAGAAATGGCCTTTGTTATTTTCATATAGTGTTCCGTCGCTTAGTCATGACTTTTTAGACACAATGTCGAACATATCTTTATCTTGATGCCTAACGTCCTTGTACAATTATCCGCATTCTAAGGACATTTAAAGCGAATAATTCAGATATCTTATGTTATAATAATTTGCACTCAACAAAAATTTAGTTTGATTGTTCTTTAAAGCATTATGAATGAAATCTAAAATGTTAAATGTCCTCATCGATTTAACGCCCCAAAAAAAATATTAAAATGCAATGGTTAACAGATTTTTCGCTTTGTTCAGTCATAACGTAACTTTTATCATAAAATTAGAATGAGACATAATTTAAAGCTTGGATAATTGTCTTTTAAAAAATATCCCAATACCTTTTTCCTAAGAGTTATTGTTGGTGAGATGTAAAGGATTCAAACGAAGGGTATGACTTTAAACTGATTCAACTTTTTGAATCGTTGCATTTCAAACAGGCAACAGACATTTATCTAATCAAAAATTTTTGTCATAATTTTGTGATAAATTTTATCGAATTGGCTGAAAATGGCGAGTAGGCTGTTTTGGTGACCTATGACTAACTATTTTCTTCCCCATGTCACGTTCGCGAGAACTATTTAGATCGCGAGAACAATATATACTATAAACTTTTTTTATGTGAAAGATGGCCAACGAGCAGACGCCTTACTTGATGGGCAGAAGTCACCACCACCCATAGACGTCCCCAACATCGCTGTTGCGGATGCGTTGATAACTTTTTATCGAAGAATAGGGACGGGTAAGAATAAGGAAATAATGGTGGGGACAGGGAAAAGGCAACCGGCTCTCTCACTCATCGAACGAAACGCAGCCACTAAGGCTACTTCACGCCGATCTTCTGTGAGAGGGTGGTACTTCCCCGGTAGAGCCAGCACATGTTCGAGCTGTAGTTACTCGACCACAGCTAGACTCTACGACCTATATAAATTGAAAGTTGGATGCAAATTATTGCAACTTCACTCTTTGTTTGATCATTGGACCGGGCTAACTCTTTCTATTTATCATATAGAATAGGCTTTCTGTTACATGTAGGTTTTCTAAAAACCTACACTATGGTATTTTAACAAGACAAAGTAAATCTGTTCCCAAAATTTTGCGTAGACTCGGAACACCAAAAACCTATTTTAATACCTTTAAATGCATCAACTGAGCAAAAATATACTTTATCATTAACAATATAGCCAACAGACATGATTATTATCAGCTAACACGAAGTTACCTAAATATCATATCAGTAACAAAGATAGTGTGTTAGCACACAAACGCTTCAATATGGCACAGGTGCGTAGAGTTATAAAAAATATTGTTGCAATTTCGTCCCTATTTTAATTAAAGTTATGATATATGGGTATACTTATTAACATTTTCAGAGATTAGTATACTTTCTAACAGATATTCATTGGCTTTCTTATCTCTTAAATACGAACACATTAGGTAAATGTTTATATATATTTATATATATACGTAGTGAATCATGTATTATTCATTCTTTATTGAAATATTAACTACAAAATGAGCTAATATTAAGAAAAGTATAGTAAAATATTTAATAATTGTTACGTTTGTGTACTTAATGTTGCTGTGTATTTCAAATTTGCTCTCAATTGATTGTGAAAGTTCAAAATGCGTAGACAATTAGTTAGAATTTTAAAATCTTCTTAATCAAATTACCTTTATAAGTTGTAGCACACACTTCTTAGAAACCTATAACGACAAATTAATAGATGTGGCTTATAGCAATTACCGCTCTTAATGGGTGTGAATGTAGAAATGGATTTTCCTACTGGTTTTTTTCTGATTTAAGTGATTTTAAAATATTACTATTACCTATATGCATTTATAGGAAATCAACTGGTATTTAATCTTCAATTATGTATCATAATATATTTGAATGAGTGAGAAAAAATATGATATTTGTTGCAAACTAATTCAATGGCATATTTATCTACTTTTAAAAAGTATTATTCAATCGATTACGTTGCTTACTCTGTCCAGTTTTCTTAATAAAAGCGTCGACTTTGTAAGGACTAACAAAATTTTCTATAGTTGCCTTAATTCCCAATTTCTATAATAGTCAGGTTATGTTGGTCCGGGGTCCTTCGAAGATGGAAATATGGAGAACTTTGACTTCACAGAAAAAAGTATACGCAGAGGTTTTATAAGAAAGGTATTTAATTGATTTTCATAATTAAAAATTATTTAAAAAAATAATTTTCATTTACATTAAAGAGACACAACAAAATATTCCTTAGACATTTTTTTAGCTCTTGTGTTCTTGTGTCCATAAGAAATACACTAAGTTGTACCAATATTTTTTAGGAAATTTATATACTTAATATTTACGAGACAAAATTTGAATTTATCATTAATAAGTGAACTGTGTACTATGAATATGTTATACAATAAGAAAATTGTTACACCATACTCTCGATTATATTGACCAGTTTAAAGTTTGAACAAAATAATAATAGCATTAATTTCAGGTGTACGCCATTTTAATGAGCCAGTTATTGGTGACGATGGGGATCATGGCATTTTTTCTTTTCCATGAACCGACCAAAGTTTTCGTCAGACAAAACAGTTACCTTTTGTAAGTTTTTCTTAAATTTTCCTTTGTTATCTTTTTTCAGTTGTCACAAACAGTTTTCAGTCATTACAAACCAGGTAAGTAATTTTAATTACGTAGATATTATAAGATATAACAGTTAAGTTACTATCGCTAGAGACAGCTAATTATTTGGGTACATCGCTTATTGATACGCATGTTAGTGTTGCAATAACAAACACTAACTAATTAGTGACAATGCAGACGAAGTTTAGTGTACTGATAACTTTATTTGACTTTTTAAAGACAAAATAAAAAAAACTACTTCATATTTTAATATTTCCTTATTATTTTTTTACTTAAACCCCTTCAAAAGTTATGAAAATCACTTATATATTTTTCTAAGTATCCTGAGATCCAAAAAAAAGTCTAACACAACATAATATTTAAGAGCTATACGTCACCTGCAGTCATGTTCTCCTTCCTTATCTCACAGATAAAAGTTAAATTTATGCATATCACATGTACCAATAAATTGCAGCAATTAGTAAAATTTTAATAAATGGATTAAAATAAATTACATTAATATATTAAATTACAGCTCGGTTATTTGTTCATTTAATGTAATAAATATATACATTTGAATTATGATTTTAAGTACATACAATAATTTTTATTACAGTTTAACATTGAAAAAGTGAGGACTAAAAGCTATGAAAAATAGCTTAACATACAATTATTCTGTTTGGACATTTTTTGTTTACAGAGATTTCTATCGTTTTAAAGCTCAGTAATTATTCACAATTATAAATATAATTAAACTATCTTTTTGTTCATAGATGGATTGCAATGGCCGTTCTTTTCATTGCTATAATAGTTCTCGCATGCTGTACGGAGATGAGACGCCAGTTTCCCTTAAATTTTATATTCCTAGCATTATTTACGTGTGCTCAGAGCTTTATTCTGGGAGTTGTATGCAGTCTGTATGAGGTCAATCAGGTAAGTTAAACTTTACGAGTATTGTTATTAGAACAAATAAGATACTTAAAGTGAAGTTAATAAAAAAACGTTCCCATCTTGTTATTGATCAAAAATAACTTAAAAGTTATACTGGGTGGCGTAAAAGTAAAGACCCTATTTGGTTCAGCTATAACATTTTTTCTAAATGAGAAAACTAGATTTAGGTTTTTTTAAATGTATATTTGTGCCATTAAATTTCGTACCATTAGGATTTAAAGATGATGTCTTTTATATGGTGACCTCCAGAGTTGATACACATTTGAGCCCTATTTATGACATTTTGCATAACTTGCCGTAACACTTCCTGCGATATGTTCGTTATTTCTTGACGAATGTTTTCTTTTAGAGCTGCGAGAGTCTGTGGCTTGTTCACATACACCCGAGATTTCAAAAAACCCCAAAGAAAGAAGTCTGGACTGGTCAAATCGGGTGATCTTGCAGGCCAAGGCAAATCGCCAAAACGAGAGATAACTCGGCCTGGAAAAGCGTCCCTCACTAAGTCCATAGTGTCGCGCGCTGTGTGTGCCGTAGCGCCGTCTTGTTGAAACCAGATGTAACTTTTAGTGGGTGTAGAGGTGTTTCTTGAATAATGCGCGGATTATCAGTGCCCCAGAACCGAGTATTCTGCTTATTGACATGCCCTGAGAGATGGAAATGCGCTTCGTCACTCATAACCAATTTTGTGTATCAACTCTGGAGGTCACCATTTAAAAGACATTATCTTTAAATCCTAATGGTACGAAATTTAATGGCACAAATATACATTTAAAAAAACCTAAATCTAGTTTTCTCATTTAGAAAAAATGTTATAGCTGAACCAAATAGGGTCTTTACTTTTGCGCCACCCTATATTTAAAATAAAAATCAACAAGCCTGACTTAAATTACTTTTAAGAAAATGACAAAAATTTGAAGTGCTTTTAATCGTTAATTTTTGTTTGGTATGTCTAGAAAATATACAACATTCTTTGAAGAATTTTAAAATTTTAAATAGGTACAGTTTTTGGAGACAAATAAGGGAATTGAAGGTTTTTTGACTTCATATTTGCCAAAACCCATTAGGCGAAAATAAAATTTTGCCTAACATATCTATAGTAATAGTGTCTAAGAAAATCTTTAATATAATGAAGACTGAACATCATTCATATAATAGAGACGAAACCTCTCAGCATTCCATAGATTCACCGTACAGGTGCCGGGTCCATCGTTGCAGGGAGAGGATCTTCAATAGACTTTGTTCTTTACGTAGAATTACTTTATCAAAATCTAGCAGTATTTAATGGGGTCAAATTCGAGAACAGCTTTAGCAATTGTCGACACAACTTTAAAGAAAATACGTTTGATTTAAACTTCCATTTATTGAAGTAAATTAAATATAAGTGCTCCTAATTTTATTTGTAACCACTTATTTTTCTCATGCATATTGTTTCTTTGAATGTCCTAGGTGTTGATGGCAGTCGGTATCACAGCTGCTGTGTGCCTTGGCCTGACTTTGTTCGCGTTCCAGACAAAATGGGACTTTACCATGATGGGTGGAGCTCTGGTGGCTTTGAGCATGGTCCTTCTAGTTTTCGGTGAGGAAACAAACGAATTTTAGAGACTATATATATAAAGACTTTGTTCACAAAATATATATTGCAAGAAAACTAAGGTTATTTAAATGAAACTAATATTTTCGGATTTTATTATATAATTCGTATTTGAAAACTACATACTCCCGACTTTTTTGTTACTTTGCAGCACGTTGTCACGCTGTAGTGTTTAAAAATAATAAAATACGAGTAGTTTTCTGAAAATATTAGTTTCATTTAAATGAATATTTGCGAAAGTCTTGATCTCATTAACTAAGATAATTATTGAATTCATATTTGGACGTTATTAAAATGAAGTATTCTTAATTATTCAACCAGGTATACTAGCGATAATATTTAGAAACAACATTCTTCATACGGTGTATGCGGCGGCCGGTGCTCTCATCTTCTCATTGTATTTGGTGTACGACACTCAACTCATGATGGGAGGGAAACACAAGTACAGCATCTCACCAGAAGAATACATCTTCGCTGCTCTTAATTTATACGTAGACATTATAAACATCTTCATGTTCATTCTCTCCCTGTCTTCGAAGTCATAATCATTAATACCTATTCCTGGAATTTATTTTTACCATTAAAAGAAACTTGGCTCAATTTGACTCTTCTCATTAATTACAGTGGATAGAAATTAGAAATGCTCTCTTTGCTAACGGATAGATACTACAGTATTTAATTTTCCTTAAAAAAAACTGTAAAAAGTATATCTAAATAACGTATTCTTATATTATCTATAATTAATTTTAGATGATTAAAAGATATAAACGATTATATATTATATGATTCAAAGAAACTATTCGTCAAAATTATTAGATAATATGGAAGTGTATTTAATTTAGTTATAATTTAAGATCTTAATTTGTCTATAATGGCTTTTTAATTATATAACAAATTAATGAAAGTATTTAAACGTTTATAATGTGGAATTAATAAAAAGTATACATAAATCTGTGAAATTTTATTTTTAACAATAAATCATAATTCTTTTTATAAAAAAAAAAAACAAATACAATTCTGAAAATTCCATAAACTATGATCGTTGAATAACTTGATTCAAAAAATCTCAAAAAAAAATTGAAGACTTAAAAACCAAACAAAAAAAAAAACGAAATGATTTACAAGGATATAAAGACTAACATATAATTGTAAGCATTATAAAGAAAGTGATGAGCATTCAAAAGTATGATATAAAAATCAAATATAGAGTATTACCTCAACAATGTGAAGTGAATAGCAACAAGTTGATAAATTAACATTATTATCATCCAACGTCATGTGTTATCGGCCGGTGTCCTATCAAATAACAATTTACAATCCAATGCATTCGTTTATTTAATACTCACAAAATGACACTGTTATTCATAGCAGCTGTTATATTTATAGTTTTTATTGTAATTCATTTAAAAAGAAAAGATCCCGAACCGATATTCGGTGTGTACAGTGTGCCTGGGAAGTGGTACTATTTAAAATATGTCGCCTTTTCCTGTATTTATTATTATAGACGGGTAAGTTTAATTTCATTTATAAAATATTATTATAAGAATTATTCTTAAGTACACAATAGTAACACACTTAGTAGTTCAATGAAAATAATTATATTTTTTAATCGTGTGCTTGATCATTTTACACTGTCTAACGTCCAATATTTTATCGCTTCAAATATTTAATTAACATTATCAATCTTGAATAATCTTAACTAGATACTAGGTATGATATGTTTCCTAAATAGAACTTAATATGAAAATTAAAAATACTTCAATATAACAGATATTAACTTGTAAATTATTTTAAACAGTATTCTAATAAGAATAAGTCAGTCGGTGCTGATGGTGGGGCAGGTCAGGGTGTGAAGGCTATCTCAGACTCGAAAGAAATGGACAAGGCGCAACCACTGAGTGACCACGCTAAGGTAACAAGCCATTATTTCTTAACCATTTGTTCCAATGTTCTATCTATAAACAAAAGATAAATAATTCGTGGAATCCTTCCGCGTGGAAGAAGTGACAATTCGTAATGTGGAAATGAAAATAGGAAGGGGTAGAAATATTTTTTTTGTGACTTCATATAGTTTATTGGATTAACTTTATAAATATTTTTTACAATTCAAAATTAACCCACCAGCTTGCTATCGCTCCGTCCTTTCTACTCACCCTCCATAGGAGCGTTGAACGTTTAACGCAACTTTGTTGGATGTCGCATTAGAATTGTCACTTCAAAAAGTTACTTAATAACAAAACAATTTAATTGTTTGTATAATGATAGCAGCACTTTTATTACAGGCTTTCGATGCGGTATTTTTCATATCCGCAAAGAAGGACGAACAAGATAAGGGAATATATGTAATAGCTGGTTGTGAGAGACGGCCTTTGGGAATGTGCAATGGACTTTTCTATATTGGGGTAATTGAAGCATTATTTCAGTTTGATCTTTGTCGTTATGACTCAACAAATATCTTTATTATGAAGGTATACCAGATCATTCAGAAACTAATATATTAAATTTAAACAAATATATAGTTGCCAGGAAAAGGACTTCTGTGCAGTAAAAAGATTCCAGACACTGTCCTTTTTGGTGCTCAAATCGGTGAATTTGGAGCTGAAGGGGTCCTTATTACCCCCGAAGAACCGATGAAGAAATGGAGCGTCTCTTACAAAGGACCTATGTGGTATGCAATTAGATACCTACTTATTGTAGTAAGTTTAGAGCCTATATGGCTATAGATTGTATTCGAGTTGATGTTGTATTTTATCATAGCTAGCGTTTTTTTGGAATTAAGGTAAGGCAGTTATTACCCTAATTCATCCCTTAGCTCTTACATCACATTCCGATTTTTGTAAGACGATTGTGAAAAGTAAGTACTACATAAATTAGCATTTACATATTAACAATTTTAATTAAATAGTAATTAGTAACTCTCTTAAAATAAGACTGAGTATTTGGTTCTCGTTTTTATATTCAGTACCCCAGGATATAGTCTTCTTCATATTTAGTAAAAAGGACATTGACATATTTGTAGACTTCATTTAAGATAGAATTTACAATTTGCAGTTAAAGGAAACGAATTTTTTTACTTTTTACTCTATCACTACTAACTGCTACTATATTAAACATAACTGCTTTTATGCTTATATATACATGAATACATAATGGTACATTATACGATAATTACATAAAATAATTTTTATTGTCTCAGGTATCAAAATGAGCCCAGCAAAATCGTAGAAGTAGAATTTAATGGTGAATGGACAGCAACAAGCAACTACTTTGATTACGATACCGATTTACACCCTCCAGCTGTAATCCGATCAATTGCTAGAGAAAAGTGGAGCAGAAAATACTTTAAAAACCTTAAAACGTAAGTAAAATTTCAGTTTACTTGGCATACTTACAGTAATTTAATTTTTAATTAATGTACAAGTGGGAACTAAAAATTTATTACATGTTTTAGCGCTCACCAATCTCACTATGAACAATTCGGCGTGATGAAGTGTAACTTCACTATTGACAAGGAATCCTTTGAAATCACCTTACCCTCCTTCAGAGATCACAGCTTTGGTAAGGTTTATAAAAATTTAGTATTTATCATCATTGCTTTTTAGAAAGTTATCTTAAAAAAAGATAATAGACCTTCAAAAGTAAAATATAAAATAACCCATCGTTAAATCTCTCCATAATAATGTTTAACTTGTCTTACACGTGAAGAATCAGTGGTAAGCTTTTGTGTAATAATAAATTTCTATATTTTTTTGAAGGTCAAAAACGAGACTGGACGCTTATGCACAGATATGCCTTTCATCATATTTTCTTACATGATGGCACCTCCATCAGCGTTGGAATCATCTGTCAGCCTTCTACAGCCACACGGTGAGTCCAAATGTGTTGGCAACAAATATTTCACAGATTTTTTTATAAATTTGTCTTACTGATTCTAAAGTAGTAGTTTAGTTAATGTCATTGTGATAGTGACACTGAATTTTCAAACATACATTATTTATTTAAGTTTGCGATAAAAGTTATGATTTTCAGTTAAACTATTGTTTCATATAAGTTAATTTATATCTGAATATCTCAAAGCAAACCTTAAACTGAAGCTTAATATAAACTAAAACTCTAAACTATTTTTTAGAGAATGTCTTCAAAACATTTACCGTTTCCATAATTAAAAGAAGAAAAATCAGTCAAAAGAGCATTGAAGATTTCCAGATGACAAGTTGCCACAATCCTTGTTGAAATTGAAATCCTGTACTAAGATTCGATCAGTAACTATTAGCTAATGTTTGTTTTAATTTGATTATGGCAGCATGGAGGTTGGCTACGTTGCTCTTCCGAGCCGTGAGACTCTGCCTGTCGAGTGGGTAGAGATGCAGTTGTACCAACACGGAGAAGGCGGTGAGGCGCCTAGAGACTATGCCTTCAGGATGAAGGCTGGAGATGTTATTTATATTGTTCAGGTAACTGAATTATTACCTCAGTAGGCTAGTTTTAATAAGTACTCAAGCTTTCATTGGCTATAAAAAATTAGTTTTTTTACAGAACATTATTTAGAAGATCATTAATAACAAGTTTTGGGTATGTTGATTCACATTTGTCATTAGCGCTATATCTATAGCTTCGACTCAAGAATGCTGATTCTATATTATAAGTTATAAGTGCCTCTGAAAATTCATACAAAGATTTAATGTTTTTCTAATAGGTGTTGGTGGAATACGAGTCTATACACTTTGTGTCTCAAGATTGGGATGCCCGAATGGTGGAGCGTTTCTGCAAGTTTGTGGTGAACGGCGTCCCGGGGAGAGGGGTGTCTGAGTTCCATTACAGACACCAGGGAGGTCGGCCTGATGATGTCTCACAGAATGACCCCGAGTGGTACAGGAAGATGTGCCATAAGATATAGATTGGGGTCACGATGTGCCTGTTATTATTTCTGTAGGTTGTGGCGATCAAGTTATTGTATTTATTAAGAACGAACGTTACTGATGTGCTTTTAATAATAAAATGCTTTGTTACTGAATTTGATCATTTATAACAATTTTTTTAATTATATATATAAATGAGAAACTTAACTGACAATATAATGTCAGGTTTTAAATTTTTATATGTTTTGAATAGAATTTAATAAAAAATAGTAAGAAGAAAAGTGTTAATAAATTATTAATGACACAACCACTATCGGTTTTTTCTTCACTAACTTATATATATTCCTTTTCATTTTAAAGTAAATTTTCTGTAATATTTCCCCATAAATAACAGACAAATATCGACCATGACAGAGCCTTGTTTGTTCTATTTATTTAGATTTTCCCACGCTGCATGTAATACATTGCTGTTATATAATCAAGAATGTTTGAGAACTCTTTGACATGCCATCATTGGATGATGACCATTGTTTCATCAACAACGACCTTGACAAGTCACAACTGGCCTTTCGCTACTCCAATTATAATACTAATCGAATTGACTGACTGCTCTACAAATGAGATAATTGCGAATACGCATCCCATGACTTATATTGGGTGATGTCCATTGACTATACAATAGAAAACCTAATATGATTTATCTTCATGAGTAATTTCCTTTATGTACCGTAAATTAAAACATGGTATTAAAACAGTTGTCCATATTGCACTTGATGTTTGAGAAAAGTAAACTTTTGAAGTGTAAAAAAATATACACATCTCAGATAGGTAATTATGTATACCTACTAACCTTTAACTCGAATCAAAATTAAATAAGCAATTAAGTAAGAAATTAAGTTTAATTTGACTTATTATAACTTCAGTAACATTTATAACATATCATCAAGTCATTGAATTCTGAAAATAGAATTCTATAAACAAATCATAATTATTTTTTTTGCTTGCTTAATAAATGCGACGAAACACCACTGCGTGTAAAAAATATAAATTAAATGTATGTAATACATAAGAAACATATTAACTAGTATGAAATAACTTAAACTAATTATTCAAAAACATTAGAAACTTTTCTTTAAACTCAAAGCATCAACTTATACTCATCTCAGGCTAAAAAAATGTCGTGGAGTTTTCTAAACCCACTGTATATATAAACGATTGTGTTTAGGGTCCTAAGTATAGGTCCCTACATATTCGTACGTTGCAACAGTCGATCGGTTCACACTGGACAATGTAGACAAAAGAGACTTCAGGAATACATTTTTAGTTAACCAACTTTGAACCAGCAGAAAACGCTATAGTGGGTAAGCTTTTATGAACTAATGAAAAAGCCTAGAAAACTACAAGTCAAAATTAAAGGTTTAAAATAAATTGTAATACATTTCCGCTTCTTAGGAAACAATGGATTTTGACGCTATACTCGAAGATGTGGGGACATTTGGACGGTACCAAAAATTGGTTGTCTATTTCATTCTACTACCAGCAGTCATACCGTGCGGTTTTCATGCATATGCTCAACTTTTCATGGCTTCAGATGTAAAGCACTGGTGTAATGTCCCTGCTCTTGAACCACTTAATAACTTAGACTTGATTAGGAATCTCAGGTAGGCTAATATGTTTTTTAATCATAACCCATAAAAAGTATAGTTATGAACAAAACAATTCAATCTCACCACACAATTAGCGAAATATTATTGTGTACAAATATATGTTCCCCTTCTAGTATACCTCTCGAATTGAAAAATGGAGAATTCGAATATTCTCAATGCAACATGTATCAATTGAACTACAGCAATGTTTTAGAAAATTATCCGAATATAGAAACGCCAGTTTTAGCCGAGATTGTTCCGTGTGTCGATGGCTGGACTTTTGAAACCAATAAAACAACAGTGGTTTCAGAGGTGAGACTTTTAACGACTATAAACTTTACTTAAAAACTAAGTACTATGTACATATAGAGTAACCTTTTCTGTAATAAAATTTAATTATGTTACCATTAATTATTTTATCAGTGAAATCATAATTTCAGTGGAGTCTAGTGTGCAATAAAGACTTTTACCCAACTCTTGGTCTAGTGTTACTGGCAGTTGGTGGCATCATCGGCAATTATATATTCGGTTACCTCCAGGATACTTTTGGAAGAAAGCCGTCTTTCTTCATTTATCTTATAATCGAATCCATTTTCGGAATAGCCACAGCATTCGCTCAAAATTACTACATTTGGATCGTATACAGATTTGGAGTCGGATTTACAGTACCAGCTATAATGGCCACTCCATACGTTCTGGGTGTGTATGGTCAAGAAAAAATATTGAAAGCTGCTCAATACTTTTTCATCATTTTAATTATATTAATTATTATATATATTGACGTCATTAATTAAACAAATATTTTGTTTTTACAGCTATAGAACTAGTAGGACCTAAATGTAGAACCTTATGTACCATTCTCTCGAATATTGCTTACTCTTTGGGACTTATTTTGCTGTCTGGTGTAGTCTACTTAGTTCGTGACTGGCGTCATCTAGCTTTAGCCACCACTTTGCCGTTTCTAGTGTTTTTCCTTTATCTATGGCCAATGCCTGAAAGCCCTAGATGGCTGTTAGCTAGAGGTCAATTCGAAAAGGCTGAAGTTATTTTAAAGAAAATGGCCAGGTTTGTATCCATTTACTTTTTTCAAACAAGTCACTACATATTTGATAACATTTTAAACAAGTCAAAATTAATTTAGGATAAATGGAAAATCTCTACCAGCAAATTACATGGTGCATCTACGACGTAAATACGAATCTGACAAGTTGAAACAGGATTTAGAGAAAGAAAAGTCAAGAAAATATGGAATCCTAGATTTGTTTAGAACCCCCAACTTGAGGAAAAAAACTATTATCATCACATTTATCTGGTTTACTAACACCAGTGTGTATGTGGGTCTGTCGTATTACGCACCTGTGCTAGGGGGTGACGAATATTTGAATTTCTTCTTAGCTGGTGTGGTTGAACTACCTACATATATGTTTCTCTGGCCATCAATGGAAAGACTCGGAAGAAGGTGGACGCTATGTATGAGCATGGTTGTAGGAGGAATAGCATGTTTGACAACATTTTTAGTTCAACATGGTTAGTAATAATCAGTACTAAATAAGAGCATTAATCCTGGAATTGACGTAATAAAAACATAATTAAATTACAGAAACAAACGTGACTCTCGCTCTCTATTGCGTCGGCAAAATGGGTATCTCCTCAGCGTTCGTGGTGCTGCCACTAATGGCCTCGGAACTGTATCCTACTGTAGTCAGAGGTCTCGGTATGAGTTTGAGTTCCGTTTTGGGAATGTTGGGACCTATATTTATTCCACTCGTTAATTATTTGGTAAGTCTGATAGAAAATAACTTAGTTAAATCTTTTTGTTTCAACCATATTACTATTTTTCTTAGTTAATAATGGATCAGAATTTATAATCGTATTGACAATGAATATTTCAAGGGATCCGACATCATGGTCCTACCGCTAATAATTATGGGAGCGTTGTTAGTGGCTGGTGGCATAGCAAGTTTACTTCTACCAGAAACATTAAATCAACACCTACCCCAGACTTTAGAAGATGGCGAAAAGATGGGCTTAGACACTGATTTTTGCTGTAGCCCGCCCGTAAAAGAAACCGGGTCGACATCGAATAAAGAAGATAAAAATAAAAATTGTAAAAATTGCAACGCGTTATGTACATGTCAAATGGTAAACGTGTCGCTTGCAGAAGATATAGTTACCATTATGGATAAGGATGAAGAAAAAGTGGAATTTGTTGTCTTGAACTGAATACTTTAATGATTAAATCTCAATAATAAACTATTTATACCATTAATTTGCTTTTTAATCAGGCAGACCCTGGCTAAATCTGGGAAATTGCCAGGAAGAAGAAGAAGAATAAACTATTTATACCATTAATTTGCTTTTTAATCAATTATTACAGGATTACAGTAAGCACGAAACTTTTGAGATTACATAGCTACTTGTAGCCTTAACAGAGTAAAGAAAAAATAAATAAAGGCTATTGTAGGCGAAACCTCAAAAAATCATATTACAAAGAAACAAGTGAAAATTATAATTTGCGATATTAGACCATTTAATGTACCTACTACCAAATTTAACGGGGAGGTTAATATTTCGTTACTAATATAGTTAATTGAAATAGTTTAAAATAACAGAACTTAAATAATATGCACATTAGAAAGTCAAAAGACTATTTGTTGTTTATAAGACTACGAGGAAATCGAAAGTTTAGTTTCTGATAGAAATAATTTAATTTGAAATTATAGTACTTAAAGTTACTTAATTAAATACATATTTTAAAAACATGTTTTTTAATTTAAACAAAATAATCAGAAAATGGGATATCCATATAATATGGACAGCACGTAAGATATTTAACTATACATTAATGAAGTACTGAATACACATTTATAAATGCTACAAAGTTTTATGCAGACTATTACCACCTTGACAGCTCTGCTGAACTACATACCTTGGCTTGGCAATCCTAACTCCAGCCAAAGTTTGGCATCCTTACTCCAGCCGTAATCCAGCCATAGAAAAATGAGGTGATGCTATAAAAGTTGCATTCAGTTCACTGCTCAAGAAGTTTATGGTATGTAGTTACTAGTTAAGATTTCGAACAAAAAATACTATTTATATACATAACTAAAGTGTCTATGATTCCAATTTTTCTACACTATGGTCTAATTGTACTCGCTTCGGCAGTACATATACTAAAGGTCAGTGGTGGCCTAGTGGTTAAAAGGTCCGCCTCTCATGTACGAGGGCGCTAGTTCGATTCTGGCCGGGCAAGTACCAAATTATTTTTCCGAGTCATATGTACTTTCTAAGAGTATTTAGACAAAAAAAGCACATATACTAAAATTGGAACGATACAGAGAAGATTAGCATGGCCCCTGCGCAAGGATGACACGCAAAATCGTGAAGCGTTCCACATTTTTAAAAGGAGATTAAGACATTTAAAAATAATTAAAGATACAAAATACAAAAGACATGGCTGTATGGGCTTTGTTCCGTTTGCCTGTTCTGAACGGAACGAACATAACCAAAAAAAAAACACTATGGTCTAAATGTTAAAAATGTCATCGCCAAACGTCTGTCAAAGAATTTTATGTCACTTTTAATTCATCTTGCGGCGAATATTATCATATTATGAAATAATTTTATATCAATATTATAATAAAATGGCTTCATTTTTACGTAGTAATGTGGTTACTCGATACATGAAACGACCTTTTTATCAAAGCAAACGTCATTCTGGATATGTTGTGTTGTAAGTTAATGAAAGTTGAAGCAAAATCTTAAAAAACGGTTTTAAATAACTTTGTACCTGTAAATAATCACTATAATAATGTAATAATTATCAAGGTAGATGAATGGTTCCATAACGAGACAAAGAATTGTAAGCTAATTATCAAAAAGCAATAAACGTAAAAAGTCGATATCCCATTGGGGGATCACATACAACTATCAACTTTTGATTAATTAACAATATTTCTCAATAAATCTTATAATCCTTAGAAAGCTTCTCTTTTAAAATGAGTTTTTAAAAACACATTTTTGCTTCTAGTGTTAAACCAAATTGTTTGTGGTTTTATAATCCATATTTGTCTTACGGAAATAAAACTCAGTCTTATTTATATTATTACATTACACCGAATGTAATGATTTACTGGTTTTCCATAATATGCACTTTTTCTAAATTAACATGTGAATCATTTAGTTTTAACTTCCGATTTCTTGTATTAATTTTGAAATTTCATATAAAACATATTGTTATTTCACTTTTCCAGAATTCCAGAGATTGGGGAGGATGGGGACAAGGACACCCTCCTGTCAAACAATGGCTTACCAGAGTTCAATGATATAACAATTGAAAAATGTATTGCAACAATCAGTAAACAAAGTATGGAATATGAAAACGGAGTGAGACAAATTGAAGAGTCTAGTCCAAACTGCAAAAACGCATTTGTTGAAATATTCCAGCCCTTAGAGAAACTGGACAACCAATTAGAACTAACATGGGGTATGGCTAAAACATTATATTTAGGAAACAGCTCCCTCATGCCAACAAAGTCATACATACAAATACATCAACGGGCACACAAAGCGAGGTCGGCAAAGTTTAACAGCATTCCCATATTCCATGCGGCTGTGAATGAAAAAAACCGTTTGAAGAAATTAACAGATGAAGAGCAACGACTTTTAGATAAATATATACTAGAAGGCAGACTCAATGGTTTGGACGTTAAAGGAGTGAAGCGGGAAAGACTCAATAATGTACTGAATGATCAGCAGAAGGAGAAAAACATTATAAGGGAGAAAGTTAATGCTGCAACTAAACTGTTTAGCTGTTTCATCAATGATGAAGAAGTGGCTAAAGAGTTTCCCGAAAACCTTGCTAAGAGCATGTCTGCCAGTAATGACGCTAGCAAAGGCCCTTGGAAATTGACCCTGCAACCTCATATTTACGAACCCTTCATGCAGTACTGTCCAGATAGAAGTTTACGTTGGAACGCTTGGCAGGCCCATGTTCAGAGATGTTCTGGTTATGGCAATAAGGAATTGGAAACTAGTACGCATATTGAAAAACTACGTGATTTTAGAGCCGAACAAGCAAAAATCTTGGGTTTCGACACCTTCGTTGATATGAGTATGGAAACCAAAATGGCTGGCTCCATTGAGAATGTTACGAATATGCTTGACACGCTTCTAACTAACGCTCGTCCAATGCAAGATGTTGAGCTGGAAGTGTTAGAACATTTTGCACACGAAAGGGGATTCGATAATAAACTACAGCTCTGGGATATTCCTTACTGGCAAAGGAAGCAGAAATGGTCATTATACAACTTTGACGAGAATAAAATCCGTGAATATTTCCCACTACCCAAAGTAATAAACAGTCTGTTCAATTTATGCAGCACGCTCTTCAGAATACAGATCGTTGAAAGACCAGAGGCGCATACTTGGCATAAAGATGTAAAATTCTATGATATCTATGACGAAGACAGTAATAAACCGATTTCAGGATTGTACTTCGACCCTTACGCGAGGCAGGATGAGAAAATACGTGTGTATGACGACGCGGGATGGCATGTGTCCATACGAAATAAGAGCACATTTACAAGCACAAACCCACTGTCAGCTTTAATCTTCAACTTCCAACCGCCGTCAGATGGGAAACAGTCGCTACTTTCATTTAAAGAAGTCAATGTATTGTTCCAACGTTTTGGACATTCTTTGAGGCATTTACTGGCTAGAGCCAATTATTCTGAGGTTGCGGGTCTGTCGAACGTTGAATGGGATGCGGCTGAAGTATGCGGTCAAGTGATGACTCACTGGCTCTATCATCCTCACACTATCCAAGCAATCAGCGGCCATTACAGAACTGACGAACCTCTCCCAGATGAAATGGTCCAAAACCTGCAGAATGTTCGCAGACACATGACGGGTTACGATTTATGCCAGGAACTATATCTATCACGTTTAGATCTAGAATTACACTCCAAAAAAACTTTCTGGAGAGACATCGTTCGAGAGTTGTGGCCAAAATATATCGCGCTGCCGTTTGACAAATACAATTCACATGTACTTTCATTCACTAAGATTTTCTCTGAGGAATGGGGCGCGGCCTACTATTGCCACTTGTGGTCTAAGATGATCGCTGCCGATATTTATAGTGCCTTCGAAGAGGCCAGGGATAGGGATCAAGATATACTGGAAGTGGGTAGGAGATACAAAGACACTTTCCTTGCAACCGGCGGCAGCTGCCATCCTAGCGAGGTCTTCAGAAGGTTCCGAGGGAGGGACCCGTCACCACAAGCATTATTAAACAACCTTGGACTCAACCAAAAAGTCTTAGAACAATAGAATTAAAAAAATATATTGTGTAATAGTTTATTGCCTAATATTATAGAAGTTACGTTTGGAAGTGAATGACATTGTTATTTAAGAAATATTCCTAAAATAATTTAATAAACTTGCGTTTCACATTATAATTATAATACATAGTTTAATCGGAATCTGGATTTTGCTCCCAGGCTCTTTCCATGTTATAAATATCCTTTTTAATTTTTTCGTCTTCTGGCACCAACTTGGAAGCTGCCTTCATTTCATCTATGGCTTTATTCAAGTAGCCCATCCTAGCGAGCGCGGCCGCTCGTCGCGCTATACACTTGGCACGACTTTGACGGTTCCCTTCACAAGCTGGTTTCATTAAATCCAGTGCTGTAGAAGAATCATTCGTCTGGAAACCAAATATACTAGATTCTTAATCGATTAAACATTTTACATGATATTTTACCAAATATGTATGACATATCGAGCCAATATTTCATTTTCCTAGTCGCTTATACATAGAATATCAGTTAAATACATACCAACAGACTGTTATCACGTTTAGTATTTGCATGTAAAGAGAATAATACAATCTCGCCATACATCAGCAACTACCTATGGCTACTATGACTTTAAATAACCTATAATATATAAATTTTGAGAATAAAAATTACCACTTACACATTTGTTAAAGTTCCCCAAAGCAAAATGTGCAGCGGCCCTGTTTGCATAGAGGCTAGGCAGCTTTTCAGACAGAGTAATACCGTGAGTGTAAGCGCTGATTGCTCCCAAAAAGTTACCACAACGAAAGAATTCGTCGCCCTTTTCCTTACACCACTGAGGATCTTGTTCTTCTGGACGAAGATCTTCCGAAACAAAACCTTGAATTTTTATTAATTATATTAAAAACTTATATAAACATACCTCTAAAATTAATCAAAGCTTATATTAATTAAACCACCTGTAGCCCTACGAGCTAAAGTAATATTCTTAAGCCACGCTTCTTCTTCTTGCGCCGTGGACTCCCGGCTAGGAGTAGGAAAAGTACGCTTCGTGTGTGTTATCTCTAATTGCATCATTTGCCTCAATCTAGGTAAAACTCTTGTAGCTGTTTCCTGCTTTTTCTTATCGACATATTCAGATTTGACAACAGTTTTCGCCGGTGATTTTGGAGTTAATTGATGTTTGGAAGATCGTGGAGCTACATCTTTCGCTTTTTCTTTTGATTCTGTATCTGAGTCTGGTAACTCGACAATTTTAACACCTGACTTTTTATTGCTAACACACATATTGTGGTTGTAAAAATCATTTTCTTGGTATGACCGCTCCTTCCATTTTTCCAACTCGCTCATAGCTTTCTGACGCTCCTCATCTCTTCTCGAATCCATCAACTCGTGTTGTTTTGAATCTATATCCATGGCCCTTTGCACGGTGAATCTATCCAATTCAGTCTTCTTTATTGATTTTTCTTCCTTCTCTTTTTTAGCTTTTTCTTGACTCTCCTCTAAAACTCGTTGTCGTATTGCTTTCTTTTCTTCCTTGGATATATTTTTTTCCAAATTTTCCCAATCAATCTCTTCCCTTTTGACTAAATCCATTGAAATCATATTATTGTTTACAACACACTTGCTCTTCTCCATGTTTACGTCATGTAGTAAGAATAATTCCAAAAGATATGGACTGAAATGTGCTTTGATATAGCAATCTGCTGTGAACATATCTACTTTTTCTCTATAAACTGGATCTAAGGGGACGCGTATGCTTATATTTGTAGGAGTTTGGATCCACGTATAATCCTTCACTAATATAGGCATCTTCAATAAGAAGAATAAGATAAAATATAATGTAATACTCAGATACTTCTACAATAACGATTGTTTTGTTTCCATGGCAATATTTCTAATTGTCCTTGAACAAGGTAAACTGATACCGCAAACATATATATTGACACAACTTAATATTACTTAAAAAAAACATTTTTACATTTTTATTTGGGTTTATAAAATAATTTTTTGACTTTTGAATTTTAATAATTGAGTTCGTTTGCGGAATTTGCTCATTTTTGTATACCAAAACCTGTCTATTGAAAGTTTAATGAAGTTTTACTTAATAACTAGTTGCATTTGAATCCGATTTTCCTTTTAATATTCTTAACAAGCTAAAAAAATAATAATACATGTTCATGTATTCTTTAAACCTAAAAGTGTTTATGGTTGTGTATAATCTCGGTCAAAGCAGACAGTCTCTTTATTGGCAATCTTTATTTTAGTAACAAAACTTTTATAGATTAGTTATGAAAACAACATCAAAAGATATGTAGATTTAGTAGATATATGACTCTTAGATATCGACTGTTGTATTTCATAAAAAACTTTATAAGACATCACAGATTTAATAATTATATCAGCGAAAGGATTAAATATATTTGAAATTCTTAAGATATCGTGGAATTTTTAACAGTAATGTATATATATGTTATGTAATGTGTTATCTATTTATAAACATAGACAGTTATTGCGTTACCGCCGCCCTGTGGAGACTTGTTTTGAGTTAAACTATTAAATAATTGAATTACTTATTTAGGTTAAGTTAATATAATTTACGATGTCCTTCAAGGTTCAAACGGGTAAGCTTAAAAATTTACGTATTATTTATTTCACGTCTAAAATTATATGAAACTTATTTGTAATTTGAGATAATACTTATATATATACATATTTGTAAGTGAAGACTTGCGATAAATATACAAGGGTCATATTCACAATTAAACCAATTTCTTAAACTATGTATAAAGTGAAAACTAGCTTAATTTCCCAAATTTTATTACTCAAAATAATTTCATGTTACGAAAAATCACCAACGGATTGAAAAAAACAGTTTTAGGTGACGTAAATCCTGAACATTTAGGAAGAACGTTGACTCATGAGCATTTAGCAATGAAATTTTCACATTTTTACCGAGAACCACCCAGCGAAATACGCCATCAATGTGAAAACCCGAATTTTCCACGCGAACATTTGGGATACATAAGACAATATCCATATAGCAATAAGAGTAATTTATTGCTGAACGATGAGAATGCTAAGGATGCTGTCCGTAACGATGTCAAACATTACAAATTACATAATGGGGGTGCGTATTTTTGATAAGAATTATTTAGATATTGTTACAAAAATAAATATTGTAAAAGTAATGATTTGACTTTAACAGGGACTATAGTGGAGAATTCCACTGAAGGTCTGGAACGAGATATTAATTTTTACAAACAAGTATCTGAGGAGACAGGAGTACACGTGGTCGCTGGAACAGGTTTCTATATAGAGGATGTTCAAGAACACCAAACACTTAATTATAAAGTAGAGGATATGTATAACCATATGATTCAAGAATTGACGAACGGATGTGTGGGATTTCCTGAAGTGAAATGCGGTTTTATGGGGGAAATAGCTAGCGTGTGGCCTATAAGAGGTAATTAGTATTCTAAAGATTAATCGTCTAACTAGTAGTTTAAGAAAAAAAAATAAAGACAAATACTTAAAATGTTGTAGATTTCGAACGTAAAGCTATCAAAGCTGCTGGCGAGGTGCAAACGCAAGTGAGGTGCGGCGTCAGTTTCCATCCACATCGAGACGAGAACGCGCCAGAAGAAATATTACGGATTTTCACTGAAGCTGGCGGACGAGCCGATAAAGCCGTTATGTCCCATTTGGATAGTAAGTGTATATACAAGTTAGCACATAAAATAATACTCTTTATAGATATCCAGGAAATAAATTTTTACACCCCACTGAAGGTCATTCGTAAATATATAAAAAAAACTTCTTTAAAACTCCTGGTAGGAAAAACAATCAATTATTTTAATGTATAGCCATCCTACTTGCATATTATTCCGGATCTAATAAAAATCCTATGATAATGTTGCTTATCTTATAGGAACTTTGCTCGACCCAGTGAAGCTATTGGAGTTTGCAGAACTCGGTTCATACTGCCAGTTCGATCTGTTCGGTACAGAGGTTTCGTTCTACCAACTGAACGTCGCTACGGACATGCCTTCAGACGCACAGAGAATAAACATGATCCGTCAGATAGTGGACGACGGAAAAGTCGACAGAGTTCTCATGTCACACGACATACACACTAAACATAGATTGGTGAGGATTCCTATATAAAACTTCTTATTAACATTAACAAAAGTAGTCTTTTTATATAAAATCCCATTACAAAAACCTTCTATATTAACTTTTCGCAGTTGGAATACGGCGGCCATGGATACGCACATATAAACGTAAACGTTCTTCCCAAGATGGCAATGAAAGGATTCTCGAAGGAAGAAATAGATATGATTACTATCAGAAACCCCGCGAGGTGGCTGGCAATACCCTACTGATATATTAAACTAAACACAATAGTTATTTACTAATATTTGGGTAGGATAAAAAGAAATATATTATATACACTTTTATTTAAATAAAAATTCAATACTAAATAAAACACATATATTTTATTTTTACATTATATTGCCCTAATCTTCCAGATCAAGGTTTTGCAGCTCCTCGTCTAAATCTTCGTCGAGGAACAGGTTCTCATTGATAGGGACGGCGGTTGATCCATCTTCAGCAGCCACTGGTTGCTTGTCACCATTCTCTAAACCTTGACTTAGTTGTTGCAACCTATCTTCCGTCGCTTTAGTACCACTGCCATCCACCTATAATGAAATAACATTTCACTAAACCTATTTCCTATATCCAAAGCCATTTTGAGGCCATTAACTTAACTAGAATTCTTAATAACTATATGAGCAAATTTAAATTAAAACTATGCTTTATGTTTTCAATGTATTTGAGTGAGTTAAAGAATAATATACTTAAAGAATAATATTCGCCCTACAAAGGGTTCAAATGAACTAGAACACATTTTAACTGATGCCAAATGCAATTAATTAAAAACCGGTACTACATTAGAGTAGTACTTTTTGGTTGATACTACTGAAATGCTTTCATATTCAATACTTCCAAGTCTCCAAATAGAAAACCTGTAAAATATGTGTATAATCTCTCTGATCCTACTACACAATCGAATTGATAGCATAATTATGTATTAGTTATGCTTGCTCGGTATTATTAAAATAATAATATGATGTCAAGTGTAATGTAGGTATATTATATTATTAGTTACTATCATTCAGTTTGCTACTTAGCATAATACAAGACAAAGTTAATATTGTTTTTGAACACTAACTACACTTTATTAGTAGTGGTATACTTGTAAAGTTCTTTTTCTGATCATGTACTAGTACTACAGCCACGCCTTCATTGTCGTACTACATGAGATTAAAGATATATTTGAAAAATAGTCTTTATAGTCCAAAATATAACAAAAGTATTTATTATTTTGTCATACCTCAGCGGCCTCCATGCCAATAAGGTCAAGTTGTATGTCCCTATATTCAGTGTCGTCTTGTTCCTCTTCATCATCATAGTACCGCAGGTCCACAGCTTCATCATCATCATCATCAGCAGCCAGCGCCGGGTCGAAGGCGAACATCTCTCGTCCAGACAAGCCCACAGCTCGACCAGCCTTGAAATCAGTTCTCTTCTGTTCTTCGGCTTTCGTAAATGCATCCTGTTGTTAAAAAAATATAAATTGAATATATATACATATTAATTTTATTTTTCATATACTGATCATGTAAAGTAGCAACTTTGCAGCAGCAAACTGTAAATTTTCTGTGCATCCAAACTGTTAATTTAATATAGATAGAAGATATATGTTAATGACACTACGAAGTAAGAATTGTTCAAAATATTCCTGATGTTTCGTTTCTTTGGAACACTAAAAACCGTAACTTCTAACCCAGACTTGACTTGATATCACAATCAAAAACAATATATAGCACATCTAATTAGTGAAACAATAAAACTTATAACATCTTTATATTATTTTTGTCAATACTAACAATATTTAGCTTGCCAAATTAGGTCATTTCTATATTAAATACCTGTTTTTCTTTGATTTTCTTCTTTTTCCATGCAAGGAATGTTTCCAATGTTATTTTTGTCTGATTAGGTCCAAGCGCTGCTCTTTCCCTTTCAATGAGATCTACAAGTGAAATCTCATTTTTCTTGTCTTCCAACTTCTTTTTATCGCGTTTCAGAACAAATCCAGGTGGCAAGGCATGTCTATAAATACATTTGGTACCCGATGGACATTCCCAGAACCAACCATATTTAGATTTCTCGACAGCCTCCAAAAAGTGCTTGCAAATCTACAACATATTTAATTATTCAAATTATTATATAAAATGTGTTTTTTAGTTATAAAATGGATATGACATCCAATATAATTTGTTATTGATACTATCAATTAAATAATAAAATTTAATATTAACATATTTTTACTACAAACGAAATTTTGGTATAAAAATTTCATCTACAAAACCAGGATAGGTTAGATATTTTCTTTATCAATTGCATTATAATATTTATATTAATGAAAAAAAGAATTATAGGAAAATATTTCTTTGCTGACAATATTATATATATCCATAATAACAAATAATATCTTACAATGTCGGTGCCTGGTCTCTGTTTGTTTCCTTCCCCGTGTTTCTTCTCAACAACTTCTTTTAATTTATCCTCGTCCCAATTGTCCATAGTGTCTTCATCATCTCTCATATCTACATAGAGGGACCTCTTTTCGGCCTAAAATATAACACAAAGTATATTAAGATTCATTATTCAATATAAAAGTCGCTAATATTCTTAATAAAGTAAATTTTCTCATATTATGTATTTACTATGGATAGTAATATACAGTAGAAGCTTTCTTTATTCGCGCTTCCTTTATTCGCGTTTTCACTATTCGCTGATTCAAAAAATGCTACCAAATTCCTATATTCGCGACTAAAAATATCTTTATTCGCGGATCTAATAAGTACATACATAATAATAATAATATTATTCCAATAAGTATCTAACACAATATACTTGTCATATGGACTAATAAAAAAGTAAAATAGACCTTATTACTACTATACCATAAGTCTTCTTCTTCTAGAAGAACTTTACCATAAGTATGTTGTTAAATGATATCGCCGAGGACTTTGACAAAAGCCGCCTTCGCTGCGAGCGGTGTTTTTGAGAATGTAAGCAAACAGAATGAAAGCAACCTTATAGCTCAATAATAAACCGACTTGGAGGAAAAGGCATCAACAAACACTGGAAACGTGACATTTACAAATTTGAAAAATCTTAGTGAAGGTTTAAGAAGTGCAAATGAGCTTTATGATTTCTTTATGAACATTGTTCTGTCTATGGATCAAAGTCTCATTTTTAAGAGGCAAATTTCTAATGCGGTTGCTGTATATCAGTCTGAATTGAAAGAGCTTTTAAAAACTGCCAAGCAAGGAAAAAATACAAAATTCTTCAAACCATTGCCTAAGCCTTAAGATAATTAATTAAAATGTTCAAAAACTTCAATTAAATATTTTTTTATATACATTTGTTGTTTTTATTTTTGTCACCTAGGAAAGTATCCACTATCCCCTATAATCCCATATAAATTATCATTCCGTATTCACGGTTTCTGTATTCGCGGCATATTTTTGGAACATATACAACGCGAATAAAAAGCTTCTACTGTATTACAATATCAAATCTTGTTACAAAAGTGTATATACATACTTTTCTTTCAATGGTAAGATCGTGTGAGAATTTACACTTGTCCCCTTTTGTGCACTGGCCCTGCTTAAAGAATGTACACACAACCGACTTTGGATCAATACCTGCAACAATTTATTATTCTCGAATTAAAAAGACTAAATTTTATTCATAACAGCATAGCATATGTAAAATAATATTGTAATTAAAACAAATAACTTCATTTTGTGAAAGATACTTTGAGCTTATAGTAAACACTAGCTGCTCCCCGCGGTGTTACCCGTGGATTTCTGGGTTGTAAAGTAGCCTATGTGTTATTCCTGGACGTCATCTTCCTGCATACAAAATTTTATCAAATTCGGTTCAGCCGTTTGAGCGTGAAGAAGTAACAAACATACACACACACTCACAAACTTTCGCAATTATAATATTAGTAGGATTGTCTGAATGTAGATACTATCAATTAATGTATAAATGTAATTTATAACCTTTTTCGACTTTTTGTGTCTGTACTGGTTTGAACAACATGGCCAGTTCCTTCTGTTCTTTTAATTTCTCTTCTTTAGTCTTCTTCTTGTCATCCATAGGTTTAGCAGGATGTATGCCGCCACTTTTAACTTGTTTCTCCACTTGCTGGATGAATTTCTGTTGTTTGGCACCTTTCTTGTTCTTGAGACCAAATGTTTTATCCTAGTAAGGGAATACAATATTTATTAATTATTCAAAGTTCAGATTTAGCCCAATTATCTCATGAGTAGCAATTTTCTTTGAAAAATTATGGTTAACAGTTGACTAACAAAGAATTGCTGTTAAAAACCAGTATTTCAGCATAAAATTTATTTCTGTCACGAATGCTCACCTCTATAACTTTGTCTTTCTTCTTCGCCTCAGTCTTTTTGCTGGCTGCAGCAGCTTTTTTGGGCGGCATGGTTAGTTTTTATAATCTTATATTTAAAGTACAAATAAATATGATTCTGTTATGTCCACTCAACTTCTTTTAAATAATTCTAATAAAATCTGTGATGTTACATAAATCATCACAGCATTTACCAAGAAAAATTGAAAAAGTATTGTTAAATGAAACCCGTCGTGGAATTGTGGGAGATTGCTAAGTGACATATGTCTTGACGTTCTCGATTTTTGACAGTTTGTTTTTTTTTGTTTGATCAGGTTCAGTTTTGATTAATCAGAATCAAATACAGTATTTTTAGTAATGTGTATTATACTTGCTCATTTTCGTTAATAATCTTTTGAGGTAATAAAATTTTAGGAAATAAACCAATTTAAAAACACAATAATAATTGTAACTGCAAAAAAAATCCTGTGAAATGTCGAATGTGACGTTTATGTAACTGTTGTCAGAATAACGATGAAAACATCGATATTATTTGGTAATTAATCGATTTTCAAATAATAAAATATATTTATAATAATACAAATATAACAATAACATATTCAGTAATTTTGATTTTTTAACTGATTTCATTTTTAATTATAATGTAGTTACTATTCACCAAATACAAGTATAATGTATATATTTTTAAACAGATTTTTAGGATTCATAAATCGGTTCGGTACGTCAGACACATTTCTTCGGTCAATTTTAAGCCGTAGTAAAATCGAAATAAACAGTAGCAGAAAGTAGGCCATGGCGAGTGTTAGTCCACTTTATTCACTGTCTTTTTCTGGATCGTGCTATAGGCATTGTTTATTTTTTTAGTGTGTAAATTATTAAATATGGAAATAGTTAACGTGGAAGACGGCCAGGCCGATACGGCGGTGACGAGAAAAAAAAGTTTGTGGTCAAAAATAAACAGTAGGACGACTTACAGTTATTTATTTAATATTGCTATATCGATACTGTTAGTTACGTGTTTAGTGTTAGTGTTATATTTCTTTAAGGAGTATTTAAAAACTATCTTATACTGGGTGGACGCTCAGGACCCTAAGATTATATTTTTATTATTTATGGGACTCTTTTTAATAGTAAGTTTTCCCGTGACAATTGGTTATCTTGTGTTGATTATAACTAGTGGATATTTGTTTGGTATCGTAAAGGGTCTAGGGACGGTTGTGGTGAGCGCAAACTTCGGAGTGGCTGTTGCACATTTTACTTTAAAAATGCTGAGGGGTTATCTGCCTCTCGACAGACTCTTGAAGAACGAAACGGCGAGAGCTCTTCTCAAAGTGATCGCCGGCCCGCAGGCGCTTAAGATCGTATTTTTTGCCAGGCTTACTCCAATACCGTTTGGTCTTCAAAACACGATATTCGCTGTGAGTAATATTATTTTTATTTTATAAATACAATACAGTGTAAATTTCAAAAGTTTACGAGAATAATGAATAATAAATATCCATGATTCTTTTTAATCCAATCTGCAAAGGACTAAAGTACACTTCACAATTACAATACATAATAAAAAATATAATTACATATTCTAAATAAGTGTGCATTCATAGTTAATTCACATTACCCTAAAATTATGTTCAATATCCATTTTTAAATACTATTATTTTTTTATATTAGGTATATATCTTAATACATTCATTAATATGTATGTATATAACAAAAAAACTATCCATAATGATGATGATGAATAATAAAAAATCAATCAATCCTCAATATATTAAAAATATGGTTTATTGAATGTAACATATTCTAGGTGTATGAATATTTAATTTGTAATCAACTTAATAAGTGGTTCTAAAGTCATTACATATTCCCTGAAAGCTTAGCTTAAATAAACTGTTTGGAGGCCAAAGCTCACAAGTCAACACCCTGCCTTCTTTATAATTCAAATGATTTACCAAGGTTTCCTTACTTGTTATATTTTTCTATATAAAAGGTGACATGTTTATAAAACATATACATAATTATTAATTATATGAAATAATAATTTTAAAAATTTTAGACAATAAGTACAGTAGGACCCCGATTATCCGGACCTCGGTTATCCGAATTCGCGATTATCCGGACTGCTAATAGCGACGAGTTTATTCTAACATTAACATGTCAGAACTTGCATAGTACCAAATACATACATAATTATTGTAAGCAAATTATACGTACATTATGTACAATCTATACTAATATTATAAGGCTGAAGAGTTTGTTTGTTTGTTTGAAAGCGCTAATCTACGAATCAACTGGTTCGAATTGAATAATTCTTTTTGTGTTGGATAGTCCAGTTATTGAGGATGGCTGTGGGCTATATAACATCACGCTACGACCAATAGGAGCAAAGATATAGTGGTAAATGTGTAAAAAAACGGGAGAAATTATTTCGTTTTTGAAGCCTTCCCTTGCGTGTGCCGTGAAAACGGTTCAAGAACGGGAACTATGTGGAAAGAACCAAAAATCTGCCGGAAGTCACTATTCCACGCGGACGAAGTCGCGGCAAAAGCTAGTTTCTTAATAAACGTTGATTTTCGCTCATATGTATTTGTTGTTTTAAATAAACACCTAACATTACATATGTATGGTACAGACTACATATGTACATATGCAAAAAGCCCGTTTTTCTTCATATATTGGATTATCCGGACTTTCAATTATCCGCATGCCTACCGACAACAATTAGTCCGGATAATCGAGGTCCTACTGTAATACTTATATGTATATAATATGTATTTTAAAACACTACATAAGATTTCAAATTTTAATTATCTCAATGTTATTCTAGTCTTATCTAATATATAAAGTTAGTGTCTAAAAATATTATATAATGAATCATCTGTTTAAAAGATTTACATTAATTAACAAACTGCTTTTTTCATATATTCATCAACAAATGAAAGGAAAAACATGAAATTCCTAAGTCATGAAATTAAAACCAAATTAATTCTTAATATGGACTATATAAGTCATAATAATTGTCTTGTTCAAATAAATTATACTCAATAACCAGAGAAACAAGGCAATTGGAATTAATTTCAATAATTGCTATCAAATTTACATTACAATAGAATTAGAATTCTTTTGAATGTTTTTATGAAAAAACTGAAATAGATAAACTTAATGGCAGAACTTATTTGAGGATTAAAAAATCACAATTGAAATGTGGAATACTTGATTAAGGTCAGTTTTTTTTTTCAAAATCACAACCAAATTTTTTTAACCATCACCTTTCTTTATACAAAATATTAAAGAACACTTAAATGGATGCTTTATCACTATCAAGCTATCTTAGCTGCTGCTCCGATATCTTATTAATCTTTTGATGGGCTTTGTAATATATCTTTTGCCTTTCTTGGTTATAATTGATTTATTACATACTAATTGCATTCATAGAGAACGGCTCTGATCAACACATTATATCTACATACACACACACATATACATATATGTAGGTTTGTATATGTGTAAGATTTGGTTCTCAAATATATTTAAAAAGACACAACAATGTCTTGGAAGATCAAACATGATGTGATTAAACGTCAAAATTACCTCAAATATAAGAAAAAATTTATAAAAATCCATTGATTGCCTAAATACTAAAATACATACATACATATATCAAATTTCTCCTTTCTCTTTCTATTCTATATGAGATTCATACAAAACAATTATTTATTTTTTATTGAAATTCCAACTACATATGTATAACATTAATATGATAAAATCACAATATAGTACATTATATTTAATAATTATTCTCATATCACATACATTACAATGCTAATGAACCATTTAAATTTTTAATCAAATTAATACATGACGTAATTATTAATTGCTTTGATTAACCAACCAATTACATCTCGTTTCATGACTACAGAACTGTATATAATTAGTTCAATGTGTGTTTAGTTTTTATTAATATTACTTATTTGTGGTTATCTTATCATAATATGTTTGAAATTGGAGATAACGTTATTAGGAAATTGGAATAATGCTTATCTATTTAATACGTAGGTTCTCCAACTAATCTAGAATTACTAGACAATTTTCAGATAGATATATAGACTAGTAAAAAGTTTTGGTGTATATACTATGTATATATCTATAGATATTTAGGTAGTAGTGATTTGAATACTACAACCGAACAATCACATTTTTTTTATTCTTAAATTTTCCATTAAAGTCTGCAGGTCAAATGTAATAATAATTTTATAAAAAATTTTGGGGTAAATTTAAACATGTAACAATTTTATTTATTATTATTTATTATTCGTTAAAACTAAGATCTTAAATTGTATAAAAAGATGGCTTTCTTTTTAAATAAATAAAAAAATACTTTTACATATATCACTAGATAAAAATTTATCATCACTACATAGAAATCATGTGTTAATGCCTTTTTTGAAATTGCGTTTTTATTGCATGAATTGCAAAATTTTATCCATGTTTATTTTAATGTGACAACACTATTTCTTTCCACATAAAGATAATAATACAAATATTAATCAATAAACTAATTTATCTCTATTATCTGTAACGTTGACGCAATTCGTTTCTCTTTATTCTTGGCCACTATAAAATATGCTATATTCTGTTTAGACTGTCTGCAAAACTTTTATGACTAGTAAATCAAAAGCCGGTATTTTCATGGAATTCCTTGTTTGATGTATGATCGTGAAATGGTTTTATTCTTATTAATATTCTTAGTTCTATTTCTGTAAAGTTTCAGATATAAAAAATTTGTTATGTGTATAATAGTTTTATAAACATGTTTTGTTGTTCGAACCGTTTTCTACACTACGCCTCAAATCATTGACGCGTGAAAAAAAATTATTACGCGCCAATCGCTGTTGACAAATCGATATTTTGACAGATTTAATTTTGTAGCGAAATAAGTTATTAGTTTATTAGAAATGGTAAACAAAATATTAAAATAAATGTAAAAATGTTTAATTATACGATGAAATAATTCTCAGAATTTGAGAAAAGTTTAAAAGAAAATCTGACAGCTAAACGATAATGGCGTCGCCGATCTTAGTAGATAACAATTTATTATGTGAATAATAATCCGTACTTATATTTGGAGAGATTGAAAAAAATTTTTGCTTATACATTGTAAAAACAAACGAAAGCAACCAGAGGTTCCAGGAAAACTACGAAACTTACTTATAAGTATATTATAATAAGAATTACCTATTGAAACTAATAATCTACACCTAAGACTACATGATTGACCCGATGTTAGGATAGCAATATTATTCTGGAAACTTCTGGTTCACACGGCTTGATGTTCGTTCGGCATAATCATCAACGTCACTCGTTATACCTATTTCTTATACGACGTTTCCCCAGCTATGTTTATTTTTTTAATACATTGCGCGTACGTAACAGGTAAAAAGAAAAATAACAATTAGTCCTCGAAACAAGACATTCATTTAATTTATCAACGATGCTGTCTCAATCGTATGATTGACAGTAATATTCATTACCAAATTTATATATTTAGTTATTTCTCTGTAAGGTTGTCTAAATTAAATCAGATGAGTGATATAAGATTCTCATGTACCTATTGCTATTTTGTCATATTTACTTACCCCGTAACCACCCATTTTGCTAGACGAATCCATTGATTGTTATTTATTACATATGTATAAACTTATTTACCCTGTGAAGATAAATTATTATATATAAATTGTAAAGAGGTAAAAGTCGTTCACATCGGTCTCCATTAAAAACAATAATGACCAATAAAATGTTTTACGTAGATAAAATACATATATGCATCTGTTTCTGTAACTTGTTATACAAAATGTATGAATATATGTATTATGTTTATTATAAATGTTCGCCATCTTTTCTGTGTTTATAAATTATAAAATAATTGAGGAAAATACAATGTTACATCACAATAAAAAACCCTCTACATACTAATCGCTTTATCTCATATTTTTTTTAATTCACAGAAAATATTAGCTATTATTGAAATGAATTTATTTAAATAATATAAGTATAATTATATTTAGATATATGCTTACAGTTTTATCAGTACAATCCACTATTAAGACAAATTATTTTATTAATTTTTATTTGTGATTTAGGATATACATATATGAATAATATTTTGAATACAACTTTCGACTTAACATTTAAAAAAAAAACTATGACCTTGAAAAATCTTTTCGAGTAGACAATAACAATTGTGTATTTGAATTTCGAATTTCATTTTGACGTATATGTATTTTGAACCAGAGATGAGTTGAAAATGCTTTAAATAGAAAAAATATAGTAATGAACATACATTTGAAGAGGTACTTAAATGTATAGTAATATAAGTCGGTCACAAACAATACGATGGATTGAAAACAAGTTGTTTTGT